CAACTACCACAAGAATCGCTGAAATACCTTTTGAATATTTTTTAACAATATTTGGACTACTGGGAAATTTCCCAAAATATGGAGAGAATCTGTAATTATTCCCATACTCAAAGAAGGAAAAGAGGGAAACAACCCACAAAGTTACCGACCAATAGCATTAACAAGCTGTCTATGTAAGACAATGGAGCGAATGGTCAACGCCAGATTGAGTTGGTTTCTAGAAGAAGGAAAACACATATCAGAATATCAATGTGGATATAATAAAGGAAGAAGTACAATAGATCACATAATAAGACTAGAAAACAGCCATAAGAGAGGCCAATTTAAACAAACAACATCTAATAGCCATATTTTTGATATAGAAAAAAGCATTTGATCAAACCTGGAAACATGGTATAATGAAAGATCTGCATAAATTAGGATTAAGAGGTCGACTACCAAACTTCGTAAAAGGATTTTTAACAGATAGACTCTTCCAAGTACAAATAGATACTACACGTTCTGATTTTGTGACTTTGTGATTTGGTGTAATTACACCAAATCACAAAGAGAAATTTAATCTTAACACAAATAAAATCAAAACATTGGGACTCCGGATGGAAGGAATCATCCAAGAAAATAATTTACCGTCTAATCAAATACTTAAAACCAACCAAACAAACATACCACCATGGATAATCAAAAATCCAAACATAATATTAAGTTTAAACAAATTATCAAAATCAAAAACACACCCCACAACATACATTGAAAAATTCTCAAAAATAAAAGAAAAATATCAAAACTATGAAAGTATTTACACAGATGGATCAAAAGACGAAGAAAAAACAGGCAGCGCAGCAATAACAAAAACAATTATCAAAAAAACGCTTGCCAAATGAAGCATCAATTTTCAGTGCAGAAGCCTACGCAATAAAACTAGCACTAAATTTCATATCAAAAAACAAAGGAGAAAACTATATTATTTTCTCAGATTCATTATCGGTATTAACCTCCCTAAAAGGGAAAAGACTGGAAAATCCATTAATACAAAGTCTTCTATATAAACTACATTCAATGGAAAAAAAGCAAAATATCATCTTCTGCTGGATTCCTAGCCATGTTGGCATCCAAGGAGGAGATAAGGCAGATAATGCTGCTAAATCATCTTTAAAAATGACAATTGACGAAAATCTTCAAATTCCATATACAGACTTAAAATATATAAATACATAAGAAACAAATGGCAAAATCTATGGAAAAACCAAACCGGAAATAAATTATTTCAAATTAAACCTAAAGTAGGAAAATGGGAAATGATCTTGGAAATACTCGGAAAAAAAACAAGTTGTCATAACCAGAACACATATAGGACACACATATTTAACTCATTCTCACATATTAAAAAAGACAAATCCACCAAAATGTAAATGTGGAAGCCTAATCACAATAAGACATATTCTATCAGAATGCAAAATCATAACTAGGATAAGACAGAAATATCTCAATGGAAAAGATTTAAAAGAAATATTCAAAAATACAGACACAGAAAAAATATACAGTTTTCTCAAGGAAATAAAAATCCTCAATAAAATATAAATAGTGTATATATATATATATGCTTATAGACATATATATGCATCTATGAATGTAAACAGTAAAATACACAATCAGAAACGGTCACAAAAAGCAATCCCAAAAAATACAGAAAATTATGAAACCCAACAACCTTTCATCTTTTTATACAAAATAACCAACTTAAATTCATAAATTAATAAGGCTTCGGCATAAATTGACCCAAATAGGAGTTGACATGCCGTTAAATCCAACATCCATCCAACTCTTTTTTATTTTTTGGTGTAGCAACTTTTAGAATTTTCTCTATTAGTACTTTATCTGGAGCGATCCCTTCCTTTGATATTGAGTAACCCAAAAATGATATTTCATTACTATTGGTTACACATTTTTTTTAATTTATTGTCATACCAGCGTCTCTTAGCCGGTTCAGTATATTTTCAGTTTTTTTCTTTAAATCATCTTCATTTAAATCTCCAATACATATATCGTCTTGATAACAGATGGTATTTTCAACATTTCCTATTACTTTTAGCTTTTTGAAAAATTGCACTTGCCGTTTTTATGCCATACGGCATTCTTTTCCACCTTAACAGGCCTATAGGTGTGTTTATGGTCGTCACTTCTTTAAAATTTTCATTTATCGGTATTTGGTGGTAAGCTGATTTTAGGTCTATCTTCGAAAATACTTTCATTCCAGCAAGTTTATGTAAAGCTACTTCCACATTCGGAATAGGGTACAAGTCAGCACAAACTTTATGGTTCACCCCTATTTTATAATCTCCACAAATTCTCAGGTCACCATCTTTTTTTTTTCAATACCACAATGGGTGATGCCCATTTACTTCCTCCTGGAGGGGCAGGTTCTAATAAGTCTTCCTTTATTAGCTTTTCATAATTTAGCTATTACCAACGGTAATAAATGCACTGGTATTTTTCTCGCTTCGTAGTAGGAGGGGGAAACATTTTCTTTTAATTTCAGGCTAGCTTCATAATTTTTTAATTTTCCTGTTTTTTCTATCTCATTAATCAACTTCGTTGAATTTATTTTTAACACGTCATTCCCCAATAGTACATGCATTTTTCGGCAATTTGTAACTATAATGGGTACTATTTCATATTTTCTTTTTAGTTCTATTGAACCTTCAAAGTAACCCATAATTGCTATAATCGAACCATCAAACTGACGTAATTGTACGTTGGTTTTTTTTAAAAACGGTTTTCCCATTTTTTCCCACAAATTTCTGGGTAATATCGTTGACCTCACTACCTGTGTCGATTTGCATTTCGACAATACAGTCGTTGATTTTCACTTTTATTTTGTATCTCCATTCTTAGATCCAGTATTTTGTATATTATCCTTTTTACATTAAAATCTGTCTATTTTCATCCTCTACTCTTTTCCACATTTTTCCTTTTACATACTTCTTTGAAGTGATTTTTTTTTTTTAAACACTTTGAACACGTCTTTCCAAAGGCTGGGCATTTTTCTTTTTCATTTCATGAATTTTTTCCACAGTACGCACAATTTTTTCTTTTTTTGTTTGTACCAATATATGTTTCAGCCATTATTTCTTCGTAGGATTTATTTTTATTTTGGTTGTAGGTATGTATTAATTCCTGCTGTTGTATAAATTCTATACACATATTCAAAGGCATGTTTGTAAGTTGTAACTGTTCCATTAACTTGTATCTATGTGCTGAATTATGCATACCTTCAATTAATCTTAGTTGGATTAATTCTTTTTCCGTTGTCTGCTCTCCTGTTCCTAGTTTTTCGAATTCACAGTATTTACTCGCACTTCTTAACCGGTGTAAATATTTTACTATCGGTTCATCCACTTCCTGCTTCATTGCTATAAACTTGGTCCTTTCTGCAATCACCAGTCTTTTCTTTGGCCTCATGTTTCCCTCAATAACCTGACTTATTTCTTCGAAAGTCATTTCTTCTAGTTCTCGAGGGTAAACCATTGTAGCAACCTTCATAATCGCTTCACAACCAGCTGTAGCCATGAACAAGTCGGCGATTTCATTTTCCCCTCCTCTGTTTTTGTTGTCTTTCAACTTTTTACATCTTGCATTAGCAGAAAAGCAACGAATCCACGTATTTACGTACTCTGGGTCTTCAAGGACCAAAGAGTATCCTATCGGCGACGCCATTGTTATGCTAAGTAAGCATTCAACCTCTGTTCTAGTTGTTGTCCATTTATCATATGAGCTACCTGCTCATATGCAAATTATACTAATTTGCATATCACTACACTGTTTTTCATTCAGGTTTTTCTTCCTCTTTCTTAAGTGGTAACAAGTTCTATCAATTTGGCACCTAAGAAGGATCATTAGCCTTTCCAGTTGTTTATCCTCTTCTCTACCATTTAGCTACATCCATTAATCTCATTAAACTCAAGGACACATGGCACAGTTGATAAATGTGTTAGTTAGATCCAGTAACAGGACCCAAAGAGTGTGATTTCAATACCTGGTTAAGGCGGTGGAGAACTTGGAGAGGGAATTAAGCAGGAGATAACTGACATCCATTAGACATGGCACATGGAACTAGAACAGTCTACCCCAGTGAGCAAAATAAATGGTTCAGTTCGACATTCCAACCACCTGAAGAAGGCCAGAGTGTACAATGGCTGAAACGTTGTAATAAATATGGCAACAAAGATGAGGACAATAGTCTGAATAATGCAAATAGTAAACAGTTGTTTTCATAGATATTTATTTAATTTTTTAATCATTTCTCCCCAAGCAAGATAATAATGCTACTGAGACCCAAGGGGTTACTGAGAGTGAAAGAAGAGAAGAAAATGTTGGTGAAGAGAAAAGACAATAAAAGAACAGGTCTCAGGAAGAGGGGAGATTGCAATTGATGTTGCATTTAAATTTTTGAAGATAATTAGGTAACAGAAAAGCAAGAAGCTGGAAGAGAGTTCCACAAGCGAGAAGTGTGAGAAAAGAAACTGTTAGAACAGAACTTTTGGTTATATAAGGCTATTTACAATATTAAAACAATGTGACTTAGTTCCCAATCTAATAGTACTTTTAAATTCATGTAGTTGAGGTACCAAAGAAGAAAACTCATTAGAACAATTGCCATGAAAATATTTATAAAAAAGGCACAGGGAAACCATATCACAGTGATGAGAAAGTGACTGAAGTCGAGATGTCAGGTCAGGACCAATAACTACAGGTGCTTTTTTTGATTTTTATTTTTGATTTTTTTTTTTTTTATATATATATAGTAAGAGCACTAAACCAGAGGTAGCAGCAGTATTCATTGCCTGGATGAATGGTAGATTTATAAACATGAAAGATGGATCCTGGCAAGAAAAACGCTTGTTAAATTTGTTCAATCAATTCCTGTGTGTTATGAGTGTTTGATTATTAATCTACATGTATATAATGTTTATAACCATCTTTTTAAAATTATTTTCTTGCAGGTGGTTGAGGAATTAAAAACTTTAATGCAGTACTATGAAAGAGAGACAAAAGAAAAGGACAATTTTCTAGGCCTTGCATTATCCTCTAGAAAGAATTTATGTATTCATCCTACGGTGAGTAAGCAGCAAAGTTTAGTAGTTTCTTTGTGTGTGCGTGTGTGTTAATGTAGGAATATAAATATAGCATAGTTACATTTGTGGGCACCTTGTGAGGATCAAGTTCATCAATAATGACTTGTAAGACTAGTTTGCTTATAACAAGTAACCACATATATAATAAACAATTACTAAGTGAATGGAAGTGCTAAATGTCTATAGAATCCAAAAACCCAAAATTCGAAACTAAACCAAGACAGCTGTAACATTAACAATTAGCAGGAATATATCTAGGGAAAATTATTTAAAACTGTAATTCTGAATTTCATGCTACTTGTGACCTTCAGACCATCATTTGTTCAAAATATATATATAGTTTTTCACCTTAGTATAAAAATAATGAAAAGGAGAAAATTGGCAGTCAATTGTTAAAACCTCCTGATGAGTAGACAGAACGATTGCAAAAAGGTTCCTCTACAAAACTTTGTCTATTTTGTGTTTGAACGCAATTTCAGTCCAGATTGCATTCAAGTCTTATATATATGCTGAAGGCACTAGTTTCTGTTCACTGAAGTTGTGGTATCAGGGCTGATCAGTACTTAGATGAGGGACCACTTTCAAATACCTGGTACTGTAAGTAATTACAGAGGTCACATATCATCATGACCTTGTCTGTGTCTTCCCATCAAAATCATTATTTTGACAGATTCTTGTCACTGAATCAAGGCTGATTGATGCTGAGAGTTCACATAGTGTTGTGTAAATGACAATATAACAATTGCATGAGTACCACTGGGTTTCTGCAGGTTAAGGATTGGGAATCACCTCATTTGCCACATCTTGTTTGGTGGCTGTACTTGTGCAGCAACTGGGTAGTTATATATAGTTAGATTGATGTGAGTTTGTGATCCCGGGTTTCACGCTTTTGCAATCGTCAGACAAACTAATTAATTTTTAAATTTTGGTTTTATATAGGGTTGTGTATATTGGGGTTTTTATATAATATATAAATAATATATATAATAAATTGCATATATATATATATATATATATATATATATATATATATATATATATATATAATCTCAAATGTAAACAAATGACGTCATATATTAAGAAATGGACAAAGTCCGACAATTTATTTTATTAAAGACATTTTTATGTTTAACGTTCTTTTTTACATTTGATACGCCAGAGCAGTTATGAATGTACGAGATTCATGGAAGATTGAAGTTTATAAGCAGTAAATTCGACTTTGCCTACCGAACGCTCCTTTGTGGCCGATTGTTAAGGCACGTCAGCGTAAATGACGGTTCCGTATAGGATGCAGGTTCGAATCCTGTCAAAGGACGAATATTTTCTATGAAAATTTCTCGGACATTCAGGCCGGTAAATGTTATTTAATACTGTTTATTATAAACAGACCATTTACTTAAATACTTGTATCTATAAAAAAGAACGTTAAACATAAAAATGTCTTTAATAAAATAAATTGTCGGACTTTGTCCATTTCTTAATAAATATATATATATATATATATATATATATATATATATATATATATATACACACACACACACACACACACACACACAGTTTGGTCAACTTTTATTTTGACATGTATTGATGATCAGTGGGCATCATCAGAAAAATGAATTTTATTTCAAACAAAATCTACCTTAATGAGGCAAAATGTAAGTTATATGAAACATGAATGCTTGAATTTTTTCTTTTACTTTTATATTAAGGTAAATCTTAATACAAAAGCTAAGAGGCAAGTTGTGGCATTAAATCTTTTGTATTTTTTGTCTATATCCTGATAAAATTCTGTGATGTAAGTTAATTGGCATTACCTTTTTTGTTTTTTTTATTCTGTATATCTGAATATAAAGGTTATGACCAAAGTTAATTGGCATTAAATCTTCTGTGTTTTATTCTCTATATCTTAATACAAAGGCTAAGACACAAGTTAATTGGTATTAAATTTTCTTTATTTTTTTGAGTGGATCATTAAGTCTTCAGTCTGTTACTGCTGTTACCATAACAGGATATAAAAACACAATTGTGGCAAACACTGTTGTTTATGAATTCGAATCACTCGTGCTAGAACAAATACTTGGATTGTTAAACAAAGTTACTTAAAGAGTTCTTAAGGTTAAATGTAATTTTAACTTTAATTTTTATTATGAGTCAGCTGAAAAATACTGAAAAAAGAATCCAATAGTGAGCACATATAATGCACACACTTATATGCAGTCATACACTATTATTTAATATAGGTTGTTGTTGAGTAGTCATTAGCAATTTAGTATATTTGATCTTCATTTGAAACTTTTCTATCCTGGCCTTTTCTCAAATTGAATCAATTAAATATCTGCCCTATTTATTATAGTACAAATAATTTATTTTTTCTATAATGTTCTTTTGCAATTACTTTTCAGATTAGTAATGAACGTGATGGTAAAATTGTTGATGCAAAGTGTCACTCTTTAACTGCAACACATATACGAACAAAGCACAAGTATGACGAAACTGTTCCTATTTGTAACTTTTATGAGGTAAGTATTTGTACGATAGAATTTATCACTACTGGGAAATTTATGGAAATATTAATTAAAATTCAAGATGAAAACAAAATTAATGTGACTGTTTGAATTGAAGAAAATGTGTCTTTGACTAGGGAAGTGTTGAATTTTTTATTGTAAATTTGAAATTTCAAAAGTTCAAAAAAAAGGCAAAAATATCAAGTTGTAGGAATTTTCACTTCGTACTTTACAATTTTAAATATCTTTTGATTAATTTTTAAAAATAGCTATTCTTAATTTCTTGCAGTCAATAAGTTTTATGAAAGATCTTTCAATATTTTTTTATTTATTGAATACTGAAAAATAACCTGAACATGAGTAAAGAAAATTGTCTGCAACTTCATCAACACTTCAAACAATCTTCAGACCATGTGTCATTACTCCTTTAGCGGTTATCTGTATAAAGCTAATGTTTTGTGTTATAGATGGTTATGACCAAGTTTTCTCAGTAACATATTTATTTACTATTATTTATTTATATATTTTATTTTCATTCTAAATTTTGGTATCTGAAATATATATATATATATATATATATATATATATATATATACACGCACATGTATGTTTAAGTACCAACAAGAAAAATTTAAGTCAGAGTTAAATAATTTTGCAAAATAGTCACATATTAAAAGATTAAGCAGGAATTTAGCCTTACTCTGAGAATACTCCTAAACTAAGTTAAAACTATAAAATTTCTTACAGGGATATAACATATGGAAAAAATAAACAAAGAACAATAAAATTTCCTGGAAAAGTGTATCCCACTTCATTATTTATTTCTCATCTCATTGATAAAGGACACAGGTGTGTCTGAAAATTCCAACTTTTGCTGGAATCTTTTTTTCTCTTTTTGCTTCCATTTAGTCAAAAGGCCTACTAATATAAAATAAATATCATCAGTCTTATTGACAATATTTTTCTCATTTTTTTTGTCTTTTTATTCCTTGAATTTCATTAACTGGCCTATTTTATGGTATGCTATATTTATGAATTAAAGTGCTCAATATCAGGGATAGAGCGTATGTAAATATAAAAGTGGACATGAGGTCAACACCTAGTGGTGACAGGCCTATTTCATGCTTCAGATCTGATTATTGTTACAAGCGCTTTCTACTAGTTCATTAGCCATTTGCAAGTTCATTTATAATATACTTTCTGTTTGTGTTCTATGTTGTATTGTGATTAAGTTATAGAATTTCTAAGCTGTGCAAGGAAAAACTGGTTGTGAATCTCTATGGAGGCTCATTTGTAAATCATATATAATGTGTGTACATATGAAAAAAAGAGAATAACTATTTGGGGTACAGCAATGTATATTGTAAAAATAAACTTTTTGATTTGCTTCCTCAGAATTTTGATGCTCATGGTAGGGAGGTACCACTGGAGCCTGGTATTTATGGAATTGTAAGTATTTCAGTTTTGTGGTATTTTGGGTGACAAATTTTTTATTCATATAAATTCATAATATATTAACCCATCAAAGTATTTCCTTTGGCTTTACACCACTTTTAAGCTAAATCATGTATCTTTTTTATAAAAGAGTGATTTCAGTCTTGAGCTGGTGAATTCTTTAAGAATTTTAAATCGTTAACAAAATCAAAGAGTGTTTTATGATGTGAAAAATATGATAGTCTGGGGGTCTGGAGAATACTTTGTATTTGGAAGAACTTCCCATACCAGCTCCATCATTACTTGCATTTATGACATGAAAATAGGTATTCTCATGCAGCAAAATCAGCAACTGATTTTCTCAGGGAAAGGTCTTTTTGCTACCAATGTCAATGAAATGAGCCAGTAGCTCTCTCTAATGCTGCACATTAACATTTCAGGTTTAAGCAACTTGTAATGAGGAATTCTCTTTGAATCTCACCAAATAAAGATGACATTTTTCCAAGTAGATTCCACTTAGATTGTGATGTTGAAGGCTCTTTTCATCCATTTGGATTCTTATAATAAATTCATTTTTCATTGCCAGTGCAATATCTTGTCTCAAATTATTTTTGTGTCACCTCAGCATGAAGTAATAGTTAGCAAGACTAGCTTGGTCAACAATTTTTAATGACTCATTAGTTTGTCACTTATGCTCCATATAAAATTTAACATTAAATAACCCAATGAGGGTTGACATGTCATAAAATTAACTGGCCTAACTTAACTTTATTTCTGTGCTGAGAAAAACAAATACTTAAATGCTGACTAATATTTGTTATGAAACCCATTTTCCTGACTCCAGTTTTGTTAAGTCTTATAAATGATGCACAGTGCTGAGCAAACTTCAAAGGCACTTCTTAGATTTTCTAACAATGTACAAAATTTAGTTAGAAATCTTTGCATCAACCCAATATTTTTGTGTTGCCTTTAATTATGTTGAGTTTTATGCAGTTTGCTTTTGTAAACTTTTGTTGAACCAAATTTAAAAATTTTTTTATTTTTTTAGGATGAACTCAAAGATTATGGAAGAAAGAAAGGCTACTGCCCTTATTTTCTTGCTCGATACACAGTAAGTCTTTTAAAAATTCTGCCAGGAAAATGAAAAGGCCTACAAAATCAGAATGACAAAGTTTAACATTTGTACCTGGGGGGGGAAAAAAAAATCCTGTGTCAAAAGAATGTTTTTTTTCTCTTGTCACTGTATACTCCCTGAGTAAATTTTATTGCTTTAAAAAGCTATTTTTAGAATTTTAATAAAACCCAAACATATGAAACTGGATTTATACATATTTTTTTTTCTTGAGAATTAACAGCAAGAATATTAAAGATTATTTGCAAGAATAATTTTCTATTAAGATTATAAAAATATATGAATCAGTTACAATGCGATATTTATTATTTACCATATAAAGAAATAACTATGAAAACAAATTTTATTTATTTATAAATTTATAAAAATGTGAAAAAGTGAACTAGAAGATTTAAATAAACACAACTATGAGTAATTATAAATTTTGAAAAAAAAAAATTTTCTGTGCATTTCTTTAATTTGCTTTTGTTACATAAATTCACTAAAATATGTTGTGAGCATCTGGATTTATACTTTTTTTCCCTTGATAATTGACAACAAAAATGTTAAACACAATTTATTTATTAGACTGTTTATTCTATAAAAATAGAGTTAAACATGATACTTTTGTTGTCAATTCTAGAGAAAAAAATCCAATTTCAAATGTTTGGTTTTTATTAAAATTTTAAAAATAACTTTTTAAAAAAATAAAATTTGTTGAAGGCATATATGATAATAGCAGTGTCAAAAGAAAAATTGTGCTTTTAACATACTGTATTTTTTGCAGGTATGCTTGTTAAACTTTGCCATCAGAATAGTCTTCAAATACTTAGAAAATTAGTGTTAGCGTGTTCCCATATTGTTTACCATTATTTTTTAAAATTTCTGTAGATTTTTGTTTTCTATAGAAACCAACTGGAAATAGTTTACATGAAATAATCCAAAATTGATATTTGATTCTTCTATTAGTAATATTTGGCTTTTAACTCAGTTATTCTTTTTGATATTTTAATAAAAAATATTTTGGAGTACCTTTGAATTTAGTTTCTTTTATTTACATTTTTTACTTTTAGATTAATGCTGTCATCTTTGTTGCCATTATCACAACATTTCAGCTCTTGTTCCCTCTAGCCTTCTTTGGGTGTCTGTTGATCCAGGCAGCTTTCAGCAAATTTTGAACTGAACTCTGAAGTTTACCCAGATCAACAGACACCTGTAGAAGGCCAGAAGCCATAATGAACAAAATGTTATAACAACAACAAAGATGAAGACATCAGTTTGAATGTAAATAATGTAAGTAAGAATCCTCTTCACGGAAATTCAGAGAGAAATTCATTTCTTTTATTTTATTCCTTATAGATTGTGCCATAGGTGATGCTCATGTGGTTTCAGTTGTAAGCATGTTTTTACAGAGTAGAGATGCTTGAATTCAGAGTTGTCTTTCTCTTAGACTGGTTGTCACCCAAGGCTATAGAACTCGGTCTGCACAGCTGGTGGGTAGGGTGATAATAAACAGAACACACTCAGAAACTTGTTAACATGTTTTTAAAAAAGTAGATTTCTCTTGATTTAATATTTTGGAGTTATGCAAGACATTGCATTTTCCTTTTCCTTGACTATTATGAATAAATATATAATAAATTCTTTTTTCCTGTATTATTGATTATAGCTTCTTTTTCTCTCCTATTTTTTTGCTTAGATTCTTCATGCAAATGTGATAGTCTACAGTTATTATTATCTACTTGATCCCAAAATTGCTGATCTTGTATCTAAAGAGTTGAACAAAAAATCTGTTGTTGTATTTGATGAAGCACATAATATTGGTAAGTGTCTTTTGTTGTTTGGGTAAAAACATCTTTCTTAATATTAAAGTAGGTACCACCAAAAAAAGCAATACCTAAGTTTAAAATGCTTTTCAGTAGTAAATGAAAAATCTTTCTTGAAGCTTTAATTTTAGTTTTAATTCCAAGCCAATAGATTAAATTTAATATTTCCAGTAAGTAAAATACTTTGCTGTATTTCAAACTGAATTTAAATAGATTGGAATTAATTTTTCTCTTTATCACTAAAATTTGTAAATTCATCTATATTGACAGATCTGTCAACGCATAATTCACTTTTTAAAAAAAATCTTTAACAAATAAAATATAATTTTCTGAAATGTTATTTGAGGAAAATTAACTGATTTAATGTTTAATTAATCTGAATTGATACCAATATTATTTACTTAACATAGCAGAAAAGCATTTTTTTAACATGGATTATTTTTCTGTTATGTTGAGTGATTTGTTGACAGGCTGATGTTTCAGGATTAAAAGAAATTTCTTGAATACAGCATGAACAACTTTTTCATTTTTTTTAACTACCCAGTAATCTTGAAAAAATCAAAATATTTTAAGCAATCTAATATTTTATTGAATTTCAGGTACTTGGGCCTTACAAAGATGCTTATTGAGAAAATGTTAAAAAAAAATTGCTAATTAATTTTCAATTATTGGCATCTCTTATTTTCTGGTAATGTTGTGTATAGATGTCCATATTTACAAAAATTGACACATTGATATGCACACAAAAGAATTAAAAATTCTTTTTAAAATACTGGTGATAGTTGAATTTGCAGTGAGTTTTTCTGTTTATTATTAGTAAATACAGTTTTAATTTAATAACAATATCAATTTGTTGCTACAAATTAATACAATATTTAAAAAAATTTAAAATTTTATAAATTACTCTAATTAAAATTTTCTTGTGAAATTCATTATTCTTCAGATAAAACTCTTTCCCTAAAACCATAGTGTCCGTAACATATTTTATTCATAAAAGCAATTAAAAGCTTTTCCAATAAAAAATATTTTAGTTTTATTGCATTATTTATTTTACAATTCAAGGTAGATTTTCTGTAACTGGGAATCCTGTTTGACCCCAAAAAATCTTTATTTCAATTTTCTGAGGATTTGTTCTAAATTTAAACATTTTGCGATACACAAAACAATTTAAAATTTCATGAAAATTGAATGGTGATGGTAGAGTAACAGATTAAAAAAGTTATTTACAAAGATTTGTTAAAAAGAGAAACATTTCAAAAATAATTTCATAAGTTCTGAAAGTTTTATTAAAATCTAACAATTATCTAATTTTTTAAAGAATTTTGAAATTTTCACCACAAAAAAAATCCTCAATTCCTAAACGAATTTAACGTCTCACTTAAAAAAAAAATTTTCCAACCAAAATTTCTGTGGTCCTATAAATAATAAAAAAATTACATAAAAAAATTATGTGAATGGCATGAAAATTTTCATGATAAAATTGTATTTTGGAAATTTTTGCATCATGTATCCTTTTTTAGTGATCTTTTTTGGAGGTACCTATATTAAAGCTATTAATTTTGTTGCATAGTTTAATCTGTTTGTCCAATATCACTAGAAAGTATTTGATTTACTTGTTGACTATTTTTCACTCAAGTATTTATTTCCAGTGCCATTTTTATTGATAAAAATATTTAGATATGCCAGTGTCATAAGATACATAAGAGGATTCTGTAATGTTCTTGACTAAGAGGAGATTCTAATAAAGATGTTTGGTTAGATTTTGGAAAAATGGGTGATATTAAGGCATTTCAATATCCGCTCATGAATTTTATCTACAATGAAAAGTTTTTTGAAAAGGCGTATTAAATTTAAATTTTATCTTGTTTGAACTGAATATCTAAAAAATTATTTTAAAACCACAATCAGCATATTAAAACTTGACAAAAAAAAAATACAATATTGAAAGAAAGCATTTCTGTTGGAATGGTGAGATCACTAGAAATAGTAAACGATTACGATCTTCTTGACCATAGATTTTTAATTTATTAATTTGTGAATTGATTAAGTGAGATAAATTTAACTCCATCATCATATAAAAAAAAAACAAACTAAAAAACAAAAGTCTAAAATATACATATCTATATAAGTTGCCTCCCTTTATCAGAAGGTTCTGCATGGAAATTATTTCTGATATTGCTGGAACTATTTCTGATATGGTTATTTTAATTTTTATCATGTACAGGACGTAACCAGCACAAAGAAACTTTTTTTTTTATAGATTTTTTTTTTTTTTTGTTCATCTAGAATTTATAATGAAATTTTAGGAATTTTTATATCCCAAGTTAAGTGTGTATGAAGCTGAGCTATATTGAACATTAATTTCCTCTGTGTGAAAAAAATTACACCCGTTGATATTCATCAACATTTGTTGGATGTTTAGAGAAACCAAATAGTAAATGTGAGCACAGCTAGGCAGTGGGTCTTTCTTTAAAACAGACACCAGGAGGATATGGGTTCATAGCTTTAACTTTAAAGTACTGATTTACAGTTCTTAACTATAAAAAGATGATAGGCTGACAAACCCCTATACATGGTTTTTATCATCTTTTACTATCAAACATACTGTAAACAGATTTCAGTTATCAATAATAATTTTAAAATAAATATACTAAAAACAAATCTTATTCAATATAAATCCTAGATGAACAAAGAGTAACAAAATAAAAAAAATATATTTTCTCTTTGCTAGTTATAGTGTGTGCATTAATACCTGACAGAAATTGCACAAAAATAACTAAAATAACTGTATTTCTTGTTAATATTCATAGTTTACACAATATTTTATAAAGTTATTACTTTTATTGCAGACAATGTGTGTATAGAGTCTATGAGTGTTACTATCACACGGCGAACTTTAGACAAATGTTGTAACAATATAGACACACTGAAAAGACATGTACAAAAGTAAGTGGCTTTCTTTTTGTTATCTTGAACGGTTTTTCATGCTAACTTCTCGCAGATCAAATCAGTATAACTGTTGTATTTGATACTCAGTCCTATTGAAGTTTCAAAATTTCTGTCTATTGAATGATTTTTTTTTTTTTTTGTCGCATAAAAACCATTTATAGTGTAAAAAGTTGCTTTATTTTCTTTAAATATTTCTTACTTTTTCTAGATTAAAAAAGTTACTTGTTCAGCCAAATTTTTAAGCTGAAAAGAATCTGATGCTTATTCACACATAAAATGCAATATGTTATGCTTTTATATATCACCAGAAGAGTCTGTCTGAATTTCTGGAATGAGGAATTATCATTACTTACTCTGTATTCCTCATGATGAGGAGTTACTATTATTTATGCTCAGATTATTGTCCTCATGATGAGGAGTTATGACTATTTAAGGTTATCATCTTCATTTTTCTTGTTAATGTTATAATGTTTTGTTTATTGTGCCACTGGCCATCATCAGGTGTTTGTCAAGCTGGGTAACCTTCAAATAATTTCAAACTGAACCCTTTATTTAATCTACAAAGGTAGATTGTTCTCAAATCTACTGCTCATATCTAGGGATGTTTCATCTTGTTCTTATTCAGTAGTGTGATTGAACTCACAATTACTGTGTCACCAAATTCACAAACCAATGCTTTAATCCACTTAGATATTGTTCTGCGACATAGTGGAATGTGAAAAATATATCCTTGTAGATTAAAGAAAGGGTTCAATTCAAAATTTCCTGAAGGTTAGCAAGATTGACAAACCCCTGATGGTCGAAATAACACCAGAAGAATATTTGACTCTTTTGATGATGTAGATGACATAGAATTTTTCTGTTATCTTAAACTTTACAAATTAAGCTTCATAATTACAAGATTCTTTTTTAGCTCTCAAGTAAATAGATAAGGGTAGTTACAGAAGAAGCTTCTAGAAGCCATAACGTAATACCAAACAATCAACACTTATACCAGGGGTCCAAAAACTTTTTAGACCATCAACTTCTTCATAGAATCCTTATCCCTCATTACCCCCACCATGTACAAAAAAATATCAATAATAATTTCTTTTATTTAAGTGTAGAAATTCCTTTGGCATTTTCCATCATTATTATTTTTCGATAAGATTCATTTAACTTTGTTTTGTTATTCCTTTTTCAATTTTTGTTTCTCTTTTTGATGTAATTGTTCAAACAGTAATAAGAAAAATCTTCATAAATTATAGCGGTAATAATATTAAATTAATATACCTTTTTATTGAATTGATTGACATCATTAATGGGAAAGTTGTGTTTGATGAGCATTAACAAGGGCATTAATATTCAGGTGGAAATTGGTGAGTTTTAGTTATAAGTCTCCACAATTTATTCATTGTCCTCTTTTGACCGTCAGGTATTTATCATTCCTTTGGGTAGTCCCATTCACATCCCAAGGTCTGATGTTAATTATTTTGGAGATCCTTGATTTAGTAACTGATCCACTGAATCAGATTAGTCTGTCTTTTATTTCAATTTACTTTTACTTTAGTTTAATATTCATGAAGTATTGAAGAAAATAAGAAAATGCAGAGCAACATGAAATTTTTGATATAAGTGTAATGAAATTGCAAAGTCACCTAAATATTTCCATTAATTTTTGACAGTATAAGTAAATTAATCTTATATGTTTTAGAATGGATATTACATTACTGATAACTCACCAAGTTAAAGATTACTAAATATTTATATAAACTGAAGTCCTTTACTGTCATCATTTAAAAAAATTGGTTATTTTTCTTTTTTGGTAAAGTTAACATTTGTACTTGCAAAAAAAAAATGTCTAAAGAATTGTTTTACTCTTGACACTGTTATCAATTATTTAATAATCCCATAGCAATTTTTATTGATATAAAAAACAACTTTTATAATTCTAATACAGCCCAAACATATGAAACTGAATTTTAACATTTTATTTTTTCTTGAGAAATGACAACAAAAGGATTAGACGCATACCATTAACTTTATTTGACAGGCTTCGAGAAACAGATGAGAAAACATTGCAGTCTGAATATCAAAAACTTGTAGATGGGCTACGAGATGCAAACATTGCTCGAGAAACTGATGTAATCCTCTCTAATCCTGGTAATTTCTCAGTATTTCTTTTTTCTCTTAAATTCTTATTATGAATGTTCTTATCATAAAATGATTTAAACTGTTTCTACATTGCGAATTTTGGAAGTGCTTCTAAGAGTCTAACATTTCCAGCATTAGCTTTGTAGAAATTCAAAACTATAGTGCAGGTTGGCCCTCATCAATCTGGCAGTCAAAAGTTAATAATCAGTCTGGTTCAATCCAGCACTAATTTCAATGAGAGCAATTTCAGATTTCCCAGGTCTCTCTGCAGACCTGCAATTACTGTTTGGTTGCACTACCTACTGCGTCAACTGTTTTTGAACACATTCAAATACTGCTAAAATATTTCTACTTGTCTTTTTGTGCATTATAACCTGCTGACATTTATCCCCAGTCATAGCTTCAATGATTACAGAAAATACTTCTTATAGTATGAAGTACATGCACCATAGATTGTCCAAATAAAATAGAACTTCTTAAAATAGAATCTTAAAATACTTGATTTTAATTTTTTTTTCTTCATTATGAATCAGTATATACTGATTTACAGGTATTTTAAATGTAGGATGAAGTGGTTATATATTGGGTTAAGTGTATTCTAATGTAAGTATTAGTAGTCTGACAAAATCACTTACCTAATGCAATACAAATTTTTCTGTTCCTTAAAACTTTGCTTATCTTTTGGATAGTATCTTTCGTTTTCTTATGTCCTCCAAATAAATGCAACCTTTATTTTAATCTTGATATGAAATATCATAATTTTCTGTTTCATATCATTTCTTCTTACACAGGATATTTTCTTTATTTTTCAGTTGTTCCTACTGAAATTTTACAAGGTGAGTTTTTTTTTTCATTGTATTTAAAAATGTTCTTCCTTTATTTAATTGATTGTCTTTTCGATTTTGAGTAGATATTTGCACCATTTTTTTGTCAGAAATCAAGCATGCTACCTTTCTTGTTGCACATTTTTGGCTTACGGAAACATCACTAAGAAACACCAGTTCCTGTAGTATCATTGAAGTTAAACAACATCAAGTCTGGTCAGTACCTAGATACCTTATGAATAACATGTGCTATAAACCTGGATGTGTAGGTGGTATAATGGCTTGGAATTATTAATCAGAGTTGAGTTCCAATTCCAGTTTGGTTTGTTACACCCAAATACCTTTATGAATCCACCTCTTTTTGAATCATTATTTACAATATAAAAATATTTTCTGGTTTTAAATAACCTGCAAAGAGTTAAGACAAAAAAAAAACATATCAGTCAATCACATTTTTATTCTGACATGTTTTCAAAAATAATTATGAAATAATTCATTTTTGGTTCAATGAATAATTCTTGTAAGCAATATATATTTTTTTTAATATTGATCTCTTTATTAAACTGTGTAAATTTCTTAAATGAAGCATTGTCATTGTAATCGGAGAGAGATATGGAAGAAAAATTTATTTTTCCATTGTATTTCCCCCGTTATGGGAATTATATCTGTGATGTAATAACACCATATTTCATGGATGGAAGGTAATGGCTGGAATGAAAAGGAATGGCAAACATACTTTGTTATCAAAGATACTTTTGTATCATTAAGACATGCACAAAACTCTCTGTGTGTGTATGTATATATATATATATATATATATACACACACACACACACACACACACACAGCAAATAATATATCACATATCACAGCAAGGAGAAACAAAAAGAAAGGGTCTTACATATATGGAGATACTTCTGTGTATGGAGAAGCTATTTTTAGGACTACAGATTCAAACAGTCTGGATTCATCTATGTCCCAGACAAAGATATATTCCACAATTGAGAAACAGTGAATCTTGAGTTTTCCCAAATTGAGGATTGCTAGCTGGAGCTACTTTCTATATTTGGGAAAGATATATTCCCAAAGGGAAACTGCACCATGGACTTGTAAGCTGTTGGGGAGGAAGATTTAGCCTCAGCCCAGGCCATATTGAACTCATATCCTGTACTCTTGGAATCCTGACTAACACAGGGAGTGCCTTATTGATTAGACCATAGAAGTCAATAAAAACCAACAAAAATAAAGTGAAAAAGATTATTCAAAAATTAATACTGAAATTATATTGCCTAAGAAATTATATCTACAACTACAGGCATCACTCGATTGATGCTAATCCATTTAATGTGTTTTTGATTAGTGTGCTAAAATTTTTATATAACAAAATTTGATTAGTGCAGTAAAACTTTCTTCATTTTAACCATAGTAATTGAAAATTGATTTTTTTTTATTTTTTTATTTTTTTTTTTTTTTTATAGTTACCGATGTACAAATTAACTGCACTAAATGAGGGATTCCAGTATATACAAATAATATTGTTATCATCATCAGTCCCTTGATGGCTTCAATCATTAGGGCACTGAGGGCAGAAGAAACAGTCTCCTCCAGTTTAATCTGTTAGTGGTGGCTCTCAGGAGTTCTCACATTATCATGTCCTTCCACTCTTTCTTGAAAAGCATAGAGAGTGCAAATGTTCCCTGTTGCGAAGTTTGTTGCTCCAATTTCCCATCTGTCAAATCTATCCTGGAGTAAATTGATTTGGGTTTTTATCAATCCAGCAGATTTTTGCTTTGATTTTTCATCTTCATAATCCTTTCTATGGGATTTCAAATAGCTTGGTGGCACCCATTACTTCTCCAAGAGATAATAATATGACTGAGGGTAAATTGAATAAGGTAGAGTTTCACTATATTTGTTTATTGACTTCATGGCTTAATCAGTTGGGTGGCATATATGCTAGACAGGCACCCAAATATACAGGATTCAAGTTCCATTTTTTGGTATGAAACATGCCATCAAATTTTTCCTAGATGACCCAGTTTGTTTCCTTTTCCATTTCTTCAGAAGCAGTTCCAGGAAACATAAGAAATGCTGAGCACTTTTTGTCTTTCTTCAAACGATTTGTTGAGTTTCTTAAAACAAGACTTCGAATACATCATGTTGTGTCTGAAAGCCCACCTTCTTTTCTCAAGGATTGTCTTCAGAAAGTTTGTATAGAACGAAAACCACTTAGGTGAGTACTGAGAGGGAATAAGCATGCATTTGTATTAGTAACTAAAATAGAATTAGTACTGTGTAATTGTGTAATTTATATACAAATCTGTGTGTGTGTGTGTGTGTGTGTATTACTTAGCAGATTTTTTGAGAGTGGTCCTTGAATGGCAGGAAATGGTTGTATCGATGTGCATGCCAAGTCGGTAAAAAAAAAAACCAAGAAAATTAATTTTTTTTAAAGGGTGGTTTATATGCTTGTTTTTGCTTTTACAAAAACTCTAAGCATGATACCTTTGTGCCTGCAAAAACTACTGTCAAAAGGACAGTTTTTTTTTTTCCTTGACACCACTATTATTTTAACTATCTTCTCTCTCTCATCAATGTTTATTATTTTAAAAAGCTATGATTATAATTTTAATAAAGCCTAAACATATAAAAGTGAATTTATACATTTTGTTCTTGAGAATTGACAACAAAAATAAACACTATTAGATTATTTATTTACACTATTTATTTATTAGATTGTTTATTGGAATGGTTGGCAAAACATCAGCTAATTGCCAGTTGATTAAAGCTTCATAAAATTGTAAATAATAAGGATTTCTTTGTAGTTGGTTCATATATTTTAATTAGTAAATGTTTATAAATTTATGAATAAAAAATTGTTTTCCTACTTATTTCTTTATAAATTGGTAAATGATAAATATTGCATTAGTTTTAATACAATTGTATTTGTTTTTAGAATGTTTTAAATATGAAATTATTCTTGTAACAAAAAAGTTTTTTTAACTATTGGTTCAGGTCAGAATAGTCAATATAATTTATCTTTCAAATATTTTTAACAACAACGATAATAAAAATTGTTCTCATATACTTGATGATAATTTCATTTTATACTTTTATTAGGTACATTTGCTAACAAACTGTTTAGTCCAACATACAATGTAAAATATATATTTGTGTTTATGCTTGTATGTTTCTGTGTGAGTACCTCCAATAGTCATTCCTTGTTGTGGTGGAGGTGCTTGTGTCATTCAATGACTCTAAGAACAATGCCGTCAGGATTTCTAAATTCTTGATAGGGCCACACTTGGTGGCAAAGTTGAAGATGAGGACCCAGACTAAGCATGATCAACCCCAAAAAATCCCCACAGTGGTCCCAAAACTTTTTAGACCATCAACAGATCTCGACAATTGAATCAGTGGATAAAGAGGGCTATGCATGACACATGCTAGAGAAAGTGCCACTTGAAGTTATAAAAGTCAGTGGCAGTCTGTTGCAGTTTCTTAACTGGATTGTACATGTCCCATTTCATATATGCTGCAGAGGAAGGTCATAAAATCAGGTGTGTGGGTTACTTCCTGGCAAGTTGAGGTCCACTTTATTCATGTCACCGGCACTTTCTTCTACTCTGATTTTCTTTCACCTCCAACCAACTCTTGCAAAGCCAAACGGTGACAGAGAATGGATGATAGAAGCAGGTTTTGGTGAAACTGGAAGCTTCTAGTCATGAACCTGCAAGTTGGTACTGAATTTAGTCATCATAATAAAGGAAGCAATCGGCAAAGAAGAAATTATATTCTTGGATATAAGATAAAGTTAATGACAATGATTCTTGTAACTAAACAATCTAATAAATAAATAGTGTTTAATATTTTTGTTGTAAATTCTCAAGAAAAGAAATGTATAAATTCACTTTCATCATATGTTTAGGTTTTTATTACAATTCTAATACTCGCTTTTTACAACAATGAACATTGTTGAAAAGTGAAAAAAAGTGGGGAGGATTTTGTATGGCATGTTTTTCATTTTTTAGTCTGCTATTGAGAAACAGTTTAGGACAGACTCTAAATGACATTATATATCAGACCCTTACTTTTAAGTGAGAGTCTTAATATGATTATCCTTGGGGTACACATACATATCACAGAAGCAGTTAAGTTACTGTAAAATAATTCTAGTTTCATTTATCATTCTTTATATATATATATATATATATATATATATAAAATGTGTGTGTATATGGACACACACACCCATGGACAAAATTATGGGGCAGGTGTAGAAAAGTTAAAAATATGACTGAAACTTGTACATATATTAGCTGAAGACACTATAAGCATTCTTAAATTGATTTTTCACTGGCATTTATGGGTACCAATAATGATTTGTGTTCATTTTTACTTATGCTAAATAAGCGGCAAAATTATTTATTTAAAATTTAATCTGTAGTCCTAACTCTTTTCTAATTTTTTAGTAACTAGCATTAATTTATAAGTGCTTCTTCTTTGTTGAAAATGTCTCTGAAGATTCCTGAAATTAAAAGGGCTGAAATCATTGCATTCTTCAAAGAAGGGTTATCCCAAGTCAAAATTGCAAGAAAAGTGAAATGCTCAAGAAATGGTGTACAAATAACCATTAAAAGATATAACAAAACCAATTCTTTTAAAAATCGGTCAAGGCCAGAAAATGTGTACAAACTCCAGGGAAAACAGACTGCTAAAGAGGGTATCTCTAGGTGACAGGAAAAAAAACTCTTTAACATGACTGCTGAATTTCAAGAGGCAACAAAGTGATATCAATTCACCAAGTGAGAAGGTGGTTAGTACAAACTGGCCTCAAAGGATGTAAAGCTAGAAAAAAACCATTGTTGTTTGAGGTTAATAAGAAAAAGAGCATGAAAAATTGGATGGCTGAGTGTTGGGCCAAAGTTGTCTGGTCTGATGAAAGCAACTTTAAAGTAAGTTCCTTTACTAATTGAAACTAATTTATTGAGCATAATTGATTTTATTACACCTATTAATACTGTATTTTTATTGAATAGAAAATTATCCCTAAAATTTTAATTTTTATCAGATTTTTGGATTCCTGGGAGTTGTTTATGTTCATCAAAGAGTTGGGGAAGTATATGATGCTCAGTGTATTGCCCCAACTGTAAAATTTGGAGGTGGGAATGTAATGGTTTGGGGCTGCATGTCGTCTTCCAGGAGAGGAATGTTATTCATATGTGAGGGTAGAATGAATTTTAACACTTATGCAAGCATGTTAGACCAATGTTACCAACCTTCATTAAAGAAAATTTTCAACAATGGAGTAATCTTCCAATAAGATAATGCACCATGCCACACATCCAGAGATTCAAAGGGTTGGTTTGAAAAGAAAGAAGTGAGGGTAATGAAGTGGCCTCCTCAATCCCCTGACCTGAATCCCTTTGAACATCTGTTGTCATGCTTAGGTACAAGAGTGAAGGTGCACAAATATTCTTCAAAACATGAATTAGAAGCCAAGCTTCATGAAGAATGGCAGAAAAATAAGCCAACTATTTGTTCTAAGCTGGTCTCCAATATGCAAAAGTGAATAAAGCCAGTTATAAAAGCAAAAGGAGCCACAACACCAAGCATTAAATATAGGTTATATTTACTTTTAAAGCTTTCTTTTTTTTTTCAAATGATAAAATAAATGAGTTTCAGTTATATTTCTAACTTTTATACAACTGCCCCATAATTTTGACCATATATATATATATATATATATATATATATATATATATATATATATATAGTCATCCACAGACAGTTTTGCTGTATCACAGCTCATCAGTGTGGTTAGACATCCGATTGCCTCTAGCTAGGATCGAAACCCGGCTGAATTGGCGTCAGTCCGGGATTTTACTACTAAGCCATTGGCACACAGCAGGGATGAAGGTGAATTTAAGTGTATTTATTTTTAGATAAACACACAGTGACTGAGAGAACTGAATTCGATTTACCGAAGAGTCTTGCATTATTAGCCGTAATAGTCACTGTTTAAAAACCCACACTTCCTCCCCAGAGAGCTCAACCGAAATAAATTTTTTCAGGAGCATACATGGTCATTAAAAAAGCTCTTTCACTTTGTCTCATTTCTCCTCTTTTGTGCAGATCCTATACCATACTAACATATATATATACACACATTTTCAATAAATTAAGGAAACTTCAAATGACTTATCTGGTTGATTGATTCAAGAGCTTCACACCAAAATGCTCACCAGATGTTTGATAAATCTATTGAAGTTCTTATCAAATCTTGAAGTTATATTCTTTAGAATGAATGAAAACTAATTCTAACTTCCTAAATTCAAATTTGAAATTCTTAACTACAATTTCATTAGAAACCTCACAACATTTAAATTTAGAATATAACAGAGCTATAACGACAGTCTGTTTAATGCTAAATGCAATTGTCATGGACTGATGATTGTGTTTAGCATGAAACACTGTCATCTCTAGGTGTTGACTTCAATGTCCACTTTTATATTTACATATGTTCTGATATATATATACACGTGTGTTTGTGTGTGTGATTGTTGTTTTTTTTTTTTTTTTTTTTACTACTAATTTTTCATTTTCTATTCTTGTGTTTATACTTTTTGTTCAGTTTCTGGTTGTTTTTCACTTATTTGCAGATTTTGCAGTGAGCGACTACGCAGTTTGTTGAAAACTTTAGAACTAACAGATATTGATGACTTTTCTAACATGAATCTCATTTCTAACTTTGCCACACTTGTCAGCACTTACACCAAAGGTAAGAAAAACAGGAAGAATTAAAATCTATATATTATGGTATTTTTACAGCAAATAATGATTTTTTGTGCTTATCTTTGATGATATATATTTGTAAGTGGTTTTCTTTGAATTAATTCCTTGTCTATATTTTTTTTTTTTTTTTTTTTCATTTTTACTATCTATCCTCCAGCCTTCCTCAGATGTCTGTTGTGTTCCAGAATATCATTGAATCCTAGTTTGGAGGCATGTTTGCATCTCTCCCCATAAAAGTTCCATCTAGTTTTTATGTCCCTGTGCCCCTAGAAAATGTGACACAGAAAATTGAAGATGTATTGGAAGAGCAAAAGGTGCATTCTAAAAGCTAAGCAAAGTATTAAGATACAGGAAAATTTTTGTTAAAAATAAAGAACAGTGATGAACTACTATATAATATCAATCCTCTTATGTGACAGTGATTGCTGGACAATTTCCTCACTGATAAACAGTTGACTTGAGGCAACAGAGATGTGGTTCTACAGAAGGTTGCTGGGAATGCCATAGATGGAACATGTAAGCTAAAAGGAATTTTTAAGGAAAATGAGAATGAAATGAATAACTGTGCTTAGAATCAGACAGTTGAAATTTCTGGGACATAATGAGGAAAGAGGGTTTGGAGAATTTGACACTCATAGGATATATTGTAGACAAGAGGAGGCAGAAAGAAACGAATAACATATCTAAAAAGCTTGTGTAAATGGATAGCAGACCAGTAAGGAGAGATAGTAAAGGGACAAATATTACTTAGTGCTACAAAGGATATGAAGTTGTGGAGAGCCATGATCACCCATGTCCTGAAAGAAAAAGAAGTGTTTCTAGAACTGTATTTCTGTTGGCCTTGTGACTGTTTTTTTTTTTTTTAATTTGATATGTACTACCAGATGTAAGGAATCCCAAATTCATTACCTACTCCCTCTTCATTAATGACATACTTGCATACTTGTCATACTGATTTACTTATTTGCCATTCTGATGTGTCAGCATGTTCAAAAACGTTTGGGGTCACCCTCTGGATTTAATAATTAGTAAATTTCATACCTTTTTTAGTTTAATTAATTCCTACTTAGCTAGGACACTGAAACTATTTAATTCATTAGTGCATAGCATCCAATATTTTAGAGTGAGGGGAGTGAGGTCATAAAATTTAAAATCTGGCAGCCCTAAGGTTGCCATTAGCCAGATTAGGTAGATTAGACAAGGAAATTTTATGCAGTAATGAGTTAATTTCATTATTATTATTGAATATATGATGAAACCCTTCAGGAAGAGTAAGCCTCTCTTGCCTGAATGGAGCTAGTAAATTTGTTTTGGAAAAACCTTCAACTTTTAGGTGATTCTTCAAAATCCAGAGACTGGCCCAAAACATTTGGCCTGTAGTGTATATGGTAAAATATCCTGTTAGCAACTCAGCATTGCATATATTTATAATTTACAATATATATATATATATATTGTTAATATTTGATTTTACAACCATGTATTATTAACCTAGCAAATAAAATATACCAAATTTTATTCAAATCACTCAAATGACACATGTTATCTCCTGGAATGATGCCTTATTTGTAAACCATTTATCTTTATTTTTCTTCTAGGATTTATTATAATTGTTGAACCATTTGATGACCGAACACCTACAATTCCAAATCCAGTGATGCATTTCAGTTGTATGGATGCTTCCATTGCCATTAAACCTGTTTTTGATCGTTTCCAGACTGTTGTTATTACATCAGGGGTTAGTCTTTTCTTATTTAATTCTAGGAAAAAGACCATTTCTTTATTTTCTGTGTGATGTAACAAATGTGCTCTTCACAGGTAATTTTTTTCTTCTCTTCTTTTTTTTTTAATCATTTCGCACCAAGCAAGGCAATAAAGTCACTAAGACAAAGGAGTTACTGAGTTGCTTTCCAATCACATTTGTTCTTAAAAAATTAAATGCAATGTTAATTGTTATCTTCTGTCTTAATTCCTGTTCTTTTATTGTCCTCAATAATGTTTTTTTTTCTCATTCTTTCACTCAGTAATTGCTTGCATCTTAGTGGATTATTGCCTTGCTTGGGGTGAAATGATTTTAAAAAAAGGAAAAAAGAGAGAGGAACATTGAAGGTACAGGGATGCTTAACTTTAAAATTCAATTTTTCAAGTTTCTTATGTTCAATGTGTCTAGATGCACAAACTAGCCAATCTCATTCAGCTTCTTACTATTGTATTTTTTTTTTCTAATATCCAATATTGTAATAGTAATAGTTTTGTAATTGTTTTTAACAATATGTTCTAAAATTCAAGTAGTGCTGACAAATCAAAATATGACAGAGAAAAGTCATAAAATGCTTCCTTTAAGTCAAAAGGTAAAAATTTGCAACTTAATAAGGAAAGAAAAAAAATCATATGATGAGGTTATAAATCTTCTGTCCATCACATAACATTTATTATAGTTTATTCTTATAATTGTTCTTTCTGTGAGTGGCCATGGTTAAATGTAAATGGCAGGACTGCCCAACAAACAGAATTGATAAAGTTTGTAATAAACTATAACAAGTAAAGAAAAGAACAGGGCAAAAAATAATATTGAGTAAGCAAATAATATATGCAAGACAAAGTAACAGTAATAAGGCAAAATGTTCACAAACTAAGAATTGGTGTTGGCACACAAGAGTGAATTCAGATAAATGAACATAGTGTTCTAACTTCAAAACAAGACAGACAGTTAAATGAGACTGAAAAGTGGCCTCTCTTATTGGTTAGAAATCCCAGCATGCATTTGTGTGGTTTTGCCTATAAATTGGGCAGAGGGAAGTATTTTGAAATTCCTTCATAATTGGAACCAAATTTCATTTTCAGTTATTGTTAATCTCTTCTTGTTGTGCCTAATTTATAAAATATACTCAATCATTATGTATAAGAAGCAAATATAAAGGGTTTGGTACTATCCTATTTCTGGCATCTTCTAATGGGTTGAAGATCTTGGAACATATCTTCTGTGAATAAGTAGGGGAACTACTGCCAATGACAAGATCATTTCTTTAATATTTCATAATAAATAATAATTAGTTGCACAGATTTGTTGATATTCATGATTGGGGAAATTGTATGAGAAAGTGGAAAAAATTTACTTTTCGTCCTTCAGGACTTTCTTGGACTAAATTTGTCATGTTGGAAGAAATACACATGCATGACAGGGGTGCTGAAAATTTTAGAATTTTTTTTTTTTAGATAGCTAAATTCATTTAGAGATTTTTTTTTTTCTTTCCATCACTTTTGTAAATAGGTATTCCACACTGTGATATTACAAGATCTGCCAGGAATGGTTAAATGTTGTAAGAGCCAGGGTGCAAATTTACTGTTGATGATCTTGCGATTAAGGCACTCTCCAGACATTTATGTCATAGTGAATTATTTTCTCCTTTGATCAGAATAGCATTTTTTATGTCAAAGTTGTGGCCAGTCTCGTTTTTTGTGACAATTATTACAGGTGATGGAGTAAACTCCTCCAGGTTTTAGCTTACTGTTTTGTTTAGTATTGACTAAGTCTTTTATTGCTTTGGATGTAATAGTAACAACTTTTATGTTTAGATAGATTCTTTTCAATTGTAGATGTGATAGAATTAAAAGGCAGGATAATATTTTTTTTTTTTTTTTGATTCATTGAGTTTTTCAGGAGGGGCCATTTTTTTTTGTTTTGGAATATTTTATGAACTTTTTATTTTGCATTGAATATAAAATAATTAGACTACTGGAGAAGATTGAAAGTGTTTTTAATATATTTCTTCTTTGTGTAAATAATCTGAGCTGCATATTCTTAGAGCTCTTAGGTAGAATCTGATGGGTATGTCAGATTTTATTTTGTTATGATGGGAATTGAAATTTATTGGTTAGTTTCCGGTGGTGTAGCTTGATATCTAGGAAGGGTAAGGAATTGTGTTCTTCCATTTTGTATGTAAATTCCATTGTGTGTTTGGCTTTGTTTAGTTGATCTCCTTAGGTCAGGTAAATCAGTATCATGACGATATATAAGTAGAGCATCATCAACATAACAAAAGCATGTTGATTGCTTGGGTAAAATATTTTGAAAAGGACTGGATCCATGAAAAAACAAAAATTTATTTGAAAGCAATAAGAGAAAATCTATTATGGAAACCTAGTTTTTAATCCTTATTTTATGATATCTAAATGAATATTAAATATAGATGCCACTGCTCGGTTTTATCCCTTTTAAGGGCCTGGAGAATTTAATACTCACACGGCATATTGGAGTCAAGAGAAGTTGGGGGGAGGCAAGTAACCTACTTAAATTTGTGTGAGTGGATGGTAGAACTGAGACAGTTATTTGGAGCAAAAAAGACACAAAGTTGTGGAGAGTCATAATTGACCACATACTGAAGAGCAAATGGGACATAAACGAAGAATTAATCTTATTTCTGTAAATGATAGTTTCTCACAAGAGATATATTACTGAGGTAATTTTGAGTCATTGATGATAAAGTTAGTGGCAATGTTTAATCTTCCTGCCCACAAAAAAAGTGTCAAAAGGATGGTTTTTCCTTCAACACCGCTATTATTTTAGCTACCTTTACTATTTGGTAATGTTTGTTTTAAAAATGATGATTAGAATTGTCATAAAACCTAAACATATGATGAAAGTGAATTTATACATTCTTTTTTTGTTTTTGAGAATTTACAACAAAAATATTAATCATTATTAGATTATTTATTTACAAGAATAATTTTATTCTTACATTATAAAAACTAATGCAATGCAATATTTATCATTTATCAATAAAGAAATATGAAAACAATTTTTTATTCATAAATTTATAAACATTTACTAAATTTATTAAAATATGAAAACCAACTATAAGGAAATCCTTATTATTTACCATTTTATAAAGTTTGAATTGATTGCCAATTAGCCAGTGTTTTACCAATCATTCCAATAAACAATATAATAAATAAACATTGTTCATTATTTTTGTTTTCAGTTCTCAAGAACAAGAAAATGTATAAATATTATGTATATACAAGGTGCGATGGATGAATTGACGTCTAAATTATGCAAAAATGAAGATGACACTGACATCTCATTTTAACAGATATATTTTACCAAAATTACACAAAAACATTGAGAAATACTAAGTAAATTTATTCAATAAAATCGCCATTGGCTTCAACCATGGCCTCCAAGATGACTTCAGAATCTCCTTCATCTCTTCTGGGTGGTTTCCTTGTTTAAGTTGGTGAATGCTGCCATAATCCTTGCCTTCATCTTTGGTGTTACAAGGAGTTTTGTTGGTCTCTTGCTCAACTTCACCCCACACATAATAATCAAAGGGGTTGCAGTCTGGACAGTTAGGTGGCCAGATGCAAGAGGTGATGTAGTTGCAGAAATTGTCTGACAGTCATGACTGAGTGTGGCATGGTGCAGAGTCCTGTTGCCAGACATAGAGCCTTCCTGCAACCACCCTCTTGATCCAGAGCAGCACAACCTCCTCAAGGCACTTGATGTAGGCCTCTGTGTTGAGTTTGAGGCCCTGTGGGAAGATGAATGGTGGCATAACTTTGCTATTACTAGTGATCACCCCAAACACCATGATGCTGACTGGATATATGGTTTTCATTACTCTCAGGACATCTTTTGGGGACACAGCAAGCCAATGGTTGTTCTGTGTGTTTATCATCTGGCAGAAATTTTTCTTGTCTGAGAAAAACCAAAGCATGTTTGGTTGGAAGGGATGCTTGAGTTTGTTCAAAAGCTTTGTAGCATGGTCTTTCCTCTTGGCCTTCATAGCTTTGGATAAAAATTGTCCCTTTCTCATCTTGTATGAGAAATACCGAAGGTCTTCATGCATGATAAGAAACTCAGACACTCCTGTGTCCCCTGGCTATGGACCTGATTGACTTGGAAGGATCATTGTCAATCATGGCCTGGATCTCACCAACAAATTCAGGAGTTCTTATCAGAATGATCAGGTTGAGTTTTCTAAGCTGCCATACCTTCGTAATCACCATTAGACTCCTCCAACTCTTTCTAAATCCTGTCCTCAGATTGACACCCAAACATGCTGAAGTGTTTGTATTGGAACTTCTGGCATGAATGCCAAGCAGTACAGCATGCCATTTCAAAATCTCTGGCAGAGTGAACTGTGTGATAGTGCTCTTTTCTTCACAGATGGTGCACAAATGACCCTACTAATTTGAGTGATTACTTCCCTTGGTCATTTTAATAATCTATACAAATAAAATGTTTATCTGCATTTAAACAAAATTAGTTCTTGAACAAAATGAAGTGTTTAATTAATCAGTTCTTTTATTGCTATGTTTCTTAGATTGCATTCTTATTTGTTCAAACCTTCTTTTGTGAGGCACTCGGATACCTTTTTTGGCCATATCTAGTCTGGCACCCCTGCTGTTCATCTTGAGGTTCTCGACAAAATCCAAAGAAGGATCTGCAATGTAATCGGTCCTGACTTGACATTTCAACTTCAGTCACTTTCTCACAGGCATGATGTGGCTTCCCTCTGTCTTTTCTACAAATATTTTCATGGCAACTGTTCGGATGAACCCACTTCCCTGATGCCACAACTACATGAATTTAAGCATGCTACTCGATTGGCATCTATGTCCCACCTTTTTACTGTTGAAATAGTTAAATGTAACCACCACTTCTATTCTAGAAGTTTCTTTTCTTGCACATCTCAACAGTGGAACTCCCTTCTTCTTACTTGCTTCCCTGATAAGTACAATCTTCAAAAATTTAAATGCAACGTCAATTGCCATCTTCTGTGGCCTTGATCCTCCATTCTTCTTTTATCTTTTCCTCAATCCCCTCTGTACAGTCTTTTCCTTTCACTCTCTATAATCATCTGCATGCTAGTGGCACTCCTGCCTTGCTTGGGGTGAAATAAATAAAAAAAAAAAAAAAAAAAAAAAGTGATTGTCTTGCTTCAACTTGGTTTTGAAATAGACTTTGTTGTTGTCTTTATAATTCTGTTGCTAATTTTTTTCTTCCAAGACATATTTACATTTCACTGTTATATTAAACACACAGAATTTTTAACATGAAAAGATACTGAGCAGTACCAAGATTTATATAATACCAGGAGTAATTAGTGAATCATAGATACCATTAAATAGTATCTATGATTCACTGATTCACTAAAAATATAGATGGAACAGATTAATTAAATGGCTAATTGGCCTCTATTTTAGTTGTGAATTCTTTATCTTCACTTTATTGAATCTTAATACATTGTTTCAAAAGCTTTGTTTCATTGCATCTCTATTTTAAACATTCTTTAACAATTGCCATTTTTGACAGCATGGGTATACTATAGTGTGTGTGTGTATATATATATATATATATATATATATATATATATGGGTGTTTTCTTTTAATTAAATGTTGTATTTAATTCTTTTGTATTTCAGACATTATCTCCTTTGGAAATGTATCCCAAAATTCTTGATTATCGACCAGTTACTATGGCAACATTCTCAATGACCTTAGCTCGACCTTGCATTTTACCTGTTGTAAGTTACTTTTCCTGAACAGGGAATTTTCCAAGTCTTCCATTATTAATTCAATGAAATTTCATGAATAAACTTTTGAATGTAGACAGATGAACATCTCTCCTCCTCCTCCTTCTGATTACTGCTCTTAATATCAACTTCTATTCTAGTGTCATTAGAAAAAACTATTGTTTATTTTCAGATTGTAAGCAAAGGCAATGATCAAGTAGCCATGAGTTCTAAATTTGAAACCAGAGAAGATATAGGTACGTTTCATGTTAGTGTGTTTATTTTGCTATCCAACAAATAGTATTTAATGTATAGATATTTTATAATTCCTGAAATTTTCAAAGACCAACATTCTTTATACATACAATTTTAGACTGTAATTTTTCAATTTGATTTTCTTTCAGCTGTTATCCGAAACTATGGGAACTTGTTAGTAGAGATGGCCCAGGTCGTTCCAGATGGTATAGTTGGTTTTTTCACAAGTTATTCCTACATGGTAAGAGTTTATAAGGAGAAACATTGTGATCATCACTACTAAATCATGGGTCCTTAAATTTTTTATACCTGTTAACCTTTCCATGGAATCATTAATCTCCAGGCATGCACAAAAATATTGATAATAATCAATTTTAAGGGTAGAAATTCCTTTGCCTTTTTTCTCCGTTATTGTTTCTCGGTAAGATTAATTTTAGCTTCATGTTTTGTTATTCCTTTCTCAATTTCTATTTCTCTTTTATATTAGATGTGTTTATTTGAATAAGTTACCAGAATGTGGGACATCCAGGCCACTATTGTCCCAGTTATCATTGGGGTCTAGACCACCAAACTTTTTCTTCATTACGAATATCTTAATAAAGCCTAGTATTCCATTGCTTCACAAGTCTACATTGCTTGGCACTGCAAATATTCTGCAAAAGATGCCATTTGTCTGAGGTTGTATGACATGATGGAGAACAAGCATAATGCAAACTCTCCAGTTGAAATGAAAACTATACAAAAGAAAAAATATATTAATAATAATAATTATTTCATGAATAATATAGATAATAATAAACATATTAAAAATTAATTACTCAACCTTTTTGTTGAATTAGTTGACATCATTAATGGAAATGATGTGCTTGATGAGCAGTTGGAAGGATTTTGATATTTGGTTGGAAATTGATGAGTTTTAGTCTTAAGTCACCATGCTCTTTCAGTGTCTGCATTTTCCATTTCCAAATCAAATGCTGTAACAATCCAGTTAGCTATGTGCATTTTATTAAGTTGTCAGTTTTTGGTTCAAAATTAATCTGTCCTTTGGTGTTCATCAGCTCCCCAGACATTTGTTGACCACCACCAATGTTCAATATCTGCCACCATGGACCTCTGCTATAAATGATTTTACTTTTTATTGAAATTCTACTGAAAGTCTTTAATTTACTTCTGTTCTTCTTTACAAGTAGAATTCTAGTGCAACTTGTTTTAATAAAACAACATATAGAAATTCTGTTTTAATATCACTTTATTCTAATTTTATTCTGATCTCTCTGCCCTTTCAATTTTTTTCTGTCTAAACCAGCTCCCCCACTAGCTTTTCTGCTGATGAGGAGGATGACATGTCATCCCCCAGGACAAAAAAGCAAAACCTGTCAAAGGGCATATAAGCTTCTTATAAAAGTCAATGGCCAACATATATATAGGCTAGGATGGGGTCTCAAGCCTTGAATGGCAACCTTCCTAGAGATGGTGTCTTGATAAAAACACTCAGTGCACTTAGACTACTGTGATTGTCTGAGTTGGGCATCAGGAAGAGCATGTGGCCTTGTAAAACCTTGCCTCAGATCTTTATGACAAATACTTTGTCAGGCAGGACCCACCTTGCTTTGTGCAAGTGGAATTACAAATATTAAATTTGTCTGTAATTTTGGGAAGTTCTAAGATTTGTTTGGACAACTGACTTTGTTCTTTGTGTTTCTGATGTCATTAACACATTGTCTTGGCTGATCAATTTTAGAGCCGTCTTCAGACATATAATCCATAAGGAAAGAGAGAGGGAAGTGGAAGAGAATGTAAGAGAGAAACCAGGTGTCTGCTTAAAATGAAACTTGAGGAACATAAAACTACAACCAAAGTTTTTTAGACATGATCTGCTAGACCAAAATAAATTTAGTCCAGAAGGTCATATCTGAACAAAGAAGGCTTCACATTATCCTTTCAGGGAGGAAATTTACCAAGAGAGAAAAAGCCAATAGAGAGTGAGAAAATTAAAAGAAGCATTAAACACTGACATGTCAGCATGTGGCATAAGTCAGGTTAATATGGATATCAGCAGAGTATAGTTTTTTTTGTTCAATAATGAAGGAATTAGAAAACGCGCCTATGTATAAATTCAAACTACTTATGTTACATGGGAGGCTGTGAATAGTATTGTAGTTTCTAAGTGATGATATATCATCACAGAAAAAATTAGAAACCTTTTGCTGGCCAAATCTGTGTGATAAAGGAATTAGTGTTCCCTTAGCCACTGGACAAGGCAGATGTAAAAGTTTGACTACTACAAAACCAAGAAAAACCAGTTTCCAAATCTTGTTGCTGGTTACGCAGTTTGATCCTTAAAGGAATTTGGGACTGATACATTCAAGTAAGTTAAACAAAAAAAAAGAGAATACATTATACAACCAAATAATCATAAAACTAAAAATATATATGTACTGTGTCACATATCACAATTTAGCACACACCAAATAACAATTCTGCAAATTTATACATAAAAGGGAATAATGTCTCAACTGGATATCCTGTTGTGTTTTCTGGTACATGTTTTTCCTCAGCATTCATTTTCAGCATTAAACCGGCAGATTACTCTGTTACAATTTGGAGTTAGATAATTAAAATTACGATAACTTGTTACATTTTTTTTGTTTACTACTACAACAAAAATAACAGGAGCAATGAATTCAACTGTCTGGACAAATCTCAAGATGTTATATACCGTACATATAAACACTAATGGGTATGTCCCAATCCTCATAAATACGTTGGACACTATTGTAAGTGTGGCTAATATGCTAAGTAGTCCACCACTAGCAGTGGTTTACCTACTTCATGCCACTGGCGAGTATTGTATTTTGTTGATGTTATAAAGATTACTATTTCATTTCCAACCTCCATTTTGGTTAATCCTCATTCAGTAATCTTTTCTAGGTTACAACACAAGATAAATTAAAATTTTCTTTTAACTTTTAATTTTTTTTTTTTTTTTTTTCAGGAAGCTATTATAGCTGCTTGGTATGAGACTGTAAGTTTCACTCTTTTACACTTTTTTTTTTTTTTTTTTTTTTTTTTAAATACTTTTGCAAAAATCACCTGCCTCCATTTGTGTTGTTAATTATTTTCTTTAAAAGCCAGAAACAAAATTGAAGATTACTGACTGAAGCATAAACTCTATCTTTGGATAAATGTAAGAATAAAAACTCAACTCCTCCTACGTTTTCAGTTTTGTGATATTAAGGAGGGAGTCATTAGGTAGATGAGGTATTTTTGCCGATGACTGTATTAATGATAAAGGTATTCACAAACGCGCACACACACACACACATATATATATATATATATATATATATATATATATATATATATATAACAAAACAAAGTGATGTGAAGCCAGAAATGCTGTCAGTGTAAGTTTGAAAGAAAGACCATTTAAGGCAAGTAGTCTTTGCAAAATATTAGAGATAGAGCATTAATAAGATTAATACAAATATAAAATTTATCACTTAGCTGATTAATGTTATATTCAGCACCACAACTCTAGTGTTTCCATAGATGAACTTTTGTTTAATTGTTCAGTCCACTTGTCAGGAGGAATCAGAAAATATGTCAATTTTCTCATTTTCATCATAAGTTAAAAAAAATCATTTATGCACTTTTTTATTGATGTTAGGTTGATTTTTTTCTTTGTGTGTGTGCACACATGTATGCATGTGTTTACACCTGTGCATGTGTACACATATGCACATTACATGTGTGTACGCCTGTACATGTGCAGATGTGCAGGCATACGCATACACAAAGAAGAAAAATCAACCTAACATCAATAAAAAGTGTATAAATTATTTTTTTAACTTAAGGTAAAAATAACAAAACTTAAACTCTGGAGTCAAGGTGCTGAATATAACATCACTTAGCTAAGTGACAAATTTTATATTTGTATTCATCATATATAATATATATATATATATATATATATATATATATATAGCCCTGATGCATATTTTGCCAGTCCATTAAACTTTTGTTGATTTATTGAAGAACATTACTTATCTGTTGACTACTTTTTGGCAGAGGTTCTGCTCGCCTGAAAAATATATTAAATTCTCCTAATTTTCACATATTTATTTTTTATTTATATTATTATTAATATATACAAACGCACACACAAAAGATTATACATTCAGTCTTCCCTTATTCCAAAAGCAACAAACATTTTTTAAGATCAAATTTATGATCTAATTTTTGTGTGTGCTGAACCAAAGTCAGCAAATAACCCCTCATCCCAACTAAAAAAGTAAAATTTTTCATTTAAATAATTTAAAATTAATGAAAACTATCCCCCCCCCCCCAAAAAGGTGGGGGAAGTATATAATGAATCTCAGATTTGGAGGTCTAAATAAACAAGTTATAGAAATTTCTGCACAATAGTAGAACAAAATGGAACAATTTTTTAAAAATTCTATTTATTGGACTATGTAGATCTATAAGCACCCACCCTACATTTCTCTGGGGAATATTGGGAGGACATCCACTGTTACTGGAACTATGTTTTTTATTTAGTTCAATTCCCCAAAAGATTTTTTGTGCATTCATTAAAATATTATGAACGCAAAATCTGTGATATCCCAACATACTTGTCATTTCCAATGTAGATCCTTGGTGAAATCCAAAGAACCTGCAATGTTATTGGTCCTGACCTGGCATTTTGGCTTCAGTCACCTTCTTCCCACCTAACCGTAATGTAGCTTCCCTGTGTCTTTTCTATAAATAATTTCATGGTAATTGTTTGGATGACCTTTCCTCTAAGAAAAAAAAAAAAAAAAATTAAGGCTGATCTTCAGCTATGTACACAATTCCCTGCTCATAATCTACCAATTCATGTAGATGAGGGAAACAAGGCAGTCTTCATTTGGTGGTCTGATAGCTATACATGGTCATCTTGAACCTAGCTGTCACTATTGTTGAGATATATTACCCACCACCTGAGTGGGTCCTTATCCACTGATTTGTCAAATATGGCTATGGGTGAAATTTTTTCCACATGTAGGAATTAAGTGATGAAGTGTTGTTTCATATGCACTTTCATATGCCATACAACATTTTGCTACACTGTCAGTCAGTTGTTATCAGGGCAAAAAGATTTAAAGGTGATTGGTAAGACTATTTAACCTTTACTGCTATAGCACCAGCATCCACTTCTGATGTCATAGATTAATATAAAAAGAAAATGGGCATTACTTTCAGAGTTACACTCATAGTTTAACATACTTGTATAATCCAAGTTAGCCAATTTTACCCTTTCTAGTTTGATAAAGTTCATTTTTTCCCTCTAAATAAATGGATTGCTCCACTATCATAACACAATAGTATAAATATCAATATTTGAATTTTACAAAGGTCACTTAATAACAATATCACCTAACTCTATAAATTAATACAAAATTTTAAATTTTTATAAATTATTATTAAATTTTAATAAAAAAGGAAAACAGTTCTTGTAAAGATTCATTATTCAGCAAAAAAAAACCCCTTTCTTGATTTTGTCCATAATATAACTTATTCATAAAAGCAATTAAAAGCTTTTCTAAGTAAATAATAGTTTTATTGCATTTTTATTTTACGAATCAGCAGATTTTTGGTAAATAGTGTTTCTATTTGACAAAAACAAATTGATGATTTAAATGCTCCAAAGACTCCTACTTTTAACTGATATAAACATTAAGCTGTACAAAAATGAATTACTCAAAATTTCATAAAATTAAATAAGTGGTGGGTAATACATGTAAAAAAAAAAAGTTTTTACCAAGATTTTCTAAAAAAAGAAACTGTCTTAAAATAATTTAATTCATTTGTGAACAAGTTCTAAAAATTTAATTAAAATCTGACAGTTATTTGTTTTGTTTTTTTCCTATACTAATTTGTGGTCCCATTCTGATGCAAGAAAAACAAAATTTATTCTAAAAAGGATAAAAACTATATAATTTAATAAGAAGAAAATTATTTGATCTTCCTCTTAATAACAAAGATTCTGAAAATAAAACTTTGCTATTATTAAGTTTGGGGCATTTTTTCATCATGTGTGCTCATTTTTTAGTGAATTTTTGGATGTACCTATATATATATATATATATATATATATATATTAGCAGGCTTTGCCTGCTCGTTATCACTTCACAAAGTAAGATATATTCACTACTTGAAATTTTTTAAATAAAAATTTTAAATGAACATTTCTTTCATAAATTGGCATGTTATAGTTAAGGAAAGTTTTGCAAATAGATGCCAACTTGTTGAAGGCCAAGTAAAATGCAAATTTCAAACACTTTTCTGCACTATATAAGACAATATTCCTAAACAGAACTATTTTTGATATGAAAGTCAAAACAATCCTCAAATAAAAGAACAGTAATGAAAGACAGTTAATTAATGAAATAAACTTTCTTTTTTTTAAATTAATATGCAAATTAGTTAAACCTGAAGAGTGATTTTGCTTAAAAGTAGGTAATATATAATACAGATATTGAGCTTTAATGCATAAATTACATTATTTATCATCTCTTAGTTGCATCCCTGTTCTTGGACAGAGTGCGCTCAGGGGCTTCTCTGTCAAAGCACAGAGGGGCAACTGAGGAAAATTATACTGAGAAGTGCCCAGCCCTGGGGAATAGCTGCCTGAGGCTGCACCCTCCCATTGCACAAGAGGGAGGGATCGATGCTCACACTGAGGCCAGTGCAACTGACAGTTGCGGGGGCTGAGGGGAATTTTTTGACCCTGCCTGGGTGCATGCGCTTGGGTCTCCATATTAATCCGGCCTTGTGTCACATCTCATTCTTGTGGAGGAATGAGTAAACACCGTGTAAATTATTATAAAGTAGTTTGTAACACCCTATTTATCATATCATAGTTGTATCTCTGTCTTTGGGCAGAATGCACTCAGGGGCAGCTTTGTCAAAAGACATAGTTGCAACTTAATTATACTAAGAGATGCTGGCCCTGAGGAACAGCTGCCTGAGGGCATGCCCTCTCATTGCACTAGAGAGAGGGATTGATGCCTGCACTGAGGCCAGCGCAACCGATGGTTGTGGGGGCTCAGGGAATTTTTGTTTGTAGCTTGGGTGTATATGCTCGGGATCCCCACATTAAACTGACCTTGTGTCACAACACAACTTTATGGAGGGTTGAGTAAATACCAAATTTCTATGAAGTAGAGCTGGGTCTTTTTAATTTCAGAATTTGTGGGTGAATTAAGATTTTGCATTTATTCATATAGATTCCATAATATTGGTTTTACTTAATTAGCTATTATGCGTCTCTAACTCTTCAAATGTTGAATGTCTAACTAATTCTAATTTCTATTTTCCCATCTTTACACTATATTAATTTTATCTTATGAATTGTCCCATTTTGTCACCCATGAAATAAAATAATTGTTTGTACGGAAAATAAGAATCTATGTACATCAAATTGTCATTAAATTAAGTGCCAGAAGAAGAATTGTTGAACTTTTAAAAGGTAAGCTTAAATATTAATTTAATACTTAAATGCAGCAATCAATTTTGAGTTCTTCTGTAGTTTATTGATGCCTATCATATCTACTCCTTTATAGCTATTGTGATGATGACCAAACCAAGAGTCCTCCACAAGAGCTAGCTTGAATGCCGCCTGATAGGGCTGCTTTTACACTAGTTTATAATAAAGCATGCATTACAATTTTAGATACAAAAGGAAAATGAGCTACTCCCCTTGAACCATGAAAGCAAGAATAATGGCTAGTATAATATATTAATATATATTTTTAACCTCGCATAATTTGGTAACTTTGAATCTGAGTTCAACAAAAATTGTTCCATGCGCCTAACTTTTCTAGGGCTTTTGAATGAGCTATGAATCCTAGAGTAGTTGCTTGGGGACACACACAAACACATAAACTGTACTTTATATATAAAAGAGATATATATATATATATATATATATATATATATATATATATATATATATATATATATATATATATATAAGAATTTTTGATTGTAATTTTATATATATTTATATATTTTTTTAAAGAGAGAAAATACAGTTTCCCCTCACAAAAGCAAAATTAAATTACCAGACAACAGAAAACTTTTTGTGTCACAACACATCCACAAGGGTAACTTTAAAATTATGCCAATATATCAAACAGGTGATTATGCTTACCTCCAAATACAAGAAAAAAATCTTTGTGGACAAATTTAAACCAAATTAACAAATCATAACCCCACACACATAAACACACAACATATAGTCATAGTGACAAATCATAACTCCACACACATACAAAATGCATGTCGTCACTATGTAGGTATCCTTACAATAATATAATATATAATATGGAGAATGAATATATATATATATATATATATATATATATATATATATATATATATATATATATATATATATATATATATATATACACACACACACACTCTGGAAAAATCAAACACATATGTTCTCCATACATATATATTGTATTATTACAGGGAAATAGTTTATTTATATATATTTCCCTGCAATAATGTATATGTATGGAGAATGAATGTATGTATACACACACACACACACACACACACTTTGTATGGTGTGTGCCTGTGGAAATAGTTTTTATATATATATATATATATATATACTGGCAAACACATATGCAATACACAGGAATAGAGGAAAAAATAAAGGGATACATGCGGACATAAAAAGATAAGAACAAAGACATCCTCTTTTCTTTCTCATTCTCTGACCAAATTTAATTATGTTATTACAATTAAATCAACAATCAAGTTTTACTGGTTTCTTTCTGACCATTTGGTATTATTCATTTTTTTCTTAACAGGGAATAATTGACAATCTTCAAAAATGTAAACTGCTGTTCATTGAAACCCAAGATGCTGCCGAGACGAGCCTGGCTTTATATAATTTTCAAAGGGTAATTGATTCTTTTTCATTTTTTTAAAGCTTAGATTTCTTATTAAAGTAAATTAAAAATGACTATAAATTGATATTTGCTGCTTTTCATTATGATATTGCTAATATTTTCATTGAAATGAAAGTTTGTTTATTGGAAGATCATTTAGGAATGATGATAGGTAAATGCTTGTCTCATTATGAATCTCTGTAAATGATTCCCAAAATTTTATCACTATAAATCTTTATTATATATAATAGTCTTTGGATTACCTAAATGAATTATTATCATTATTATTAACTAGTTTACTCAGGATGTCATTATTTTAAGTACTGTATATACTTGCCTATCATGCGACTTTTGAAAACCTATTTTTGAAGCAAATTTTAAGGGAGTTTAGTGTATGTACTGCTGGCTACGTCATTGACCAAACTATATATTCATTTACTGTAGTTGAATTAGCTTCAAAATTAGATCTTCAAAGTTTGCATGATACATGAGTATATACAGTAATTTTATAATTAATTTATTTCTAAAATATAAAAAAATTTCTTATTTTTTGTTGATTTTTCAATACTTCTTGAATATTAAATGAAACAAATAACATTTTTTTTAATAATTTCACTCCAAGTAAGGTGATAAAGCCACTAAGATGCAAGAGGTTACTGAGAGAGAGAGAGAATCTGAGAAAAATCATTATTAAGGAGAAAGGACAATAAAAAAACGGGTTTCAAGAAGACTGAGGATAACGATTGATGTTGCTTTTAAATTTTTGAAGATTATATTCAACATTGAATAATTATGATCATGTCACCAAAAGAATAATGCAGCAGTGTATACACACACACACACACACACACACACACACACATTTATTACAATTTACATATTTGTATTATTATGTAACTATTAACACTATTGTTGCATGTTATTCTGCAATCTAAAGTTTCATTTAAGTACTTCAATAAACAGTTTATAATTGTCTCCCTTGAATACAATTTTTTGTTAAAAGAAATTGACGATTGTAAATTAGTCTAGTTTATAAACTATTAACAGCAAAAAAGAAAGCTAAAACAAAATTGATAAAAATCAACAATGTATTAGCAGCTTGCTTCAGCTACTTTATAATGGGATATTCTCTTCCCTATTGTCTGGTTCACACTCATCCACGGTCTTTTGAACAGGTGTAAAAGTTTATCCCTTGTTTCTTGTCTAGGATTGGGTTTCTGTTTCCTTCTAAAGTTTACTTCAACTATATACTCCTAACATCTCTGCCTAAACTCTGATATTTTATTTAATATTTATTTTTTCCACAGTAGGGGTAGATAGATTCAGTTATCATCTGGTTGACACTCCTTCCATGTCTTTTAAACTTGGGTAGAGGTTTATTCCTTGTTTCCTGTTTAGGATTTGGTTTCCAGTTCTTTATTTTCACTTCCAGTAGATCCTCCCATCTTAGTGGCATTATTGCCTGCTTGTGGGTGAATTGATAAAAATAAATTTTGAGTGGTATTGAGTAATGCCTTGTGTTACTGTAGCAAAAGAAAAGTAAGTAGTGAGATCAGATAGTGAGCCATTAAACATATTACATTGTATTTTATATAAGGTTTTTGACTTGTATTTCTTTCATTATTCTGTAACTCTTAAACAGTGTAGATAAAAAATAAAGAACAAGCTTAGCTTAATTTTCTTTAGTAATTTTTAAACTTTCATGTCCGCAATAAACTGTGTCAAAAGGATGATTTTTCCTTGATACCACTATTATTTTAACTCACTCTTCACTCCGTCTGCAATTTTTGTTTTCAAAAGTGATGATTAGAATTTTAATAAAGCCCAAACATATGAAAGTGAATTTATATAGTTTTAAAAAAAAATTCTTTTTACATTTATTTCTTTATAAAATAGTAAATAATAAATCTTTATAAAAGGTGAATAATAAATATCACATTCTACTTGATTCACATATTTTTATAATCTTGTAAATAAACTTTCCTGGGGAAGTGAAGGTAGTACAAAATAATAATGGCGTCAAAGGAAAAACTATCCTTTTAAGGTTTGCTTTCATTTTTTTTATTTTTTTTTTATTTCCAATCCTTGTTGCTTACAACAGTAACTTTATTGCATTTCTTTTCTATTTCAAGGCTTGTGAAAATGGACGTGGTGCTGTACTTTTATCTGTAGCAAGAGGAAAAGTCTCAGAAGGAATTGATTTTGGTAAATTATCAAAGTGTGACAAGTTTTTTTATGCGTTACCAAAATAATCTATTTGAAAAAAAGTTTTTTTAAACAGAATTCAGAAAGAGTCATGGTTTAATTTGATTATATTTTTGGTATACTATTTTATTAATAGAATAATAATCTCATTTAGGATTTTTAGTCATTAGCCTGTATCATGAATATTTTTTTTCTCTTGATCAGTATGATTTTTGAAGCTTATATCATGTTCTACATATCATCTCTTTTGATGATTTGATCTCTTCTGAAGCTTGGTTGATTTCTGATTGATCAATGAGGTTATAATTAATAATATTGATTGGGGAAGTGCACCTAGCATGGGCCACTGTTGAGAAGCGCCTGGAAACCCCACCATGAGTTGACCCAAGCCTTCTATGTGAAATTGGGTAGACAAAACTGACTGAAAATCATTGTGATCAAGTATGAGTATTGAGTGTACTGACCTTGATCACACCAGATTATGTGTTTTCGCTGAGTAACTGTAACTAAGGTTTGTTCAGCATAGGTTACCTCTGTGGGTGGGAAAGAAATGCTAAATGTGTCTGAGATTAGCTAGGTACCTTAGCAGACAGACCTACTTGGAAATGAGTAGGAAGCCATTATATATATATATATATATATATATAAACAACAAAATCCAAAATTTACCTCACATGGGTATAGATCTATTTCAGCCAACATGTGCTCATGTCGGAATTAAAGATTTAAAATTTAACTTTTACAGTAGTTGAAAAATTGATACAGAGGTAGGTTCTGCCCAGTCAGACAAAATACCTGAGTTGGTGGTAAGGGGAGGGCGGAAAGTATCTGTCTTAAAGGGAGAGGCTCCACAAATTCAACCCGGATATTAACCTTATGACCCAGAGTTGGGAATATATGAAGAAGGGCTGAAAAGGGAGTTATATATATATATATATATATATAATAAAAAGGCTTAAACACTAATATTCCATGGTCATAATTTATTCCATTGGAATCGTAAATACGATCCAATTCATCAGACCTACAAATTCAAAATGAAAACAGAAAAAATCACTCCGGAAGTGAAAACAGAATTTCGAGAAAGTGTAAATATGAGGAGGGGGCAGATTGAACCTTAACAGAGAGAATTTTAGGAGAGGTGGTGTGGAGGGTTTTAGATAAGAGATGAGAATGATTGTCGACGGATGTCTAATGCATAAAGATACATTTCGTGGTGACATACACACACCATCGACAATTTAATGCAAGAATAATAAGGAGGGGAAGGGAAAGAGGAGGTAGGGGAGAGATGGGACGAAGGAAAGTAAAATTGCGTTTACTTAAAGGGCCGCTTTGTAATTGAGAAAATTTGACAAATTTTATATCGACTACAGGTTACAAATCAAATATAAATATATGAAGATAAATATAACGATTGTCTACCTTTAAGTAGAACCCTCCCCACCACCTCTCCTAAAATTCTCTCTGTTATGGTTCAATCTCCCCCCTCCTCATATTTACACTTTCTCGAAATTCTGTTTTCACTTCCGGAGTGATTTTTTTTTTCTGTTTTCATTTTGAATTTGTAGGTCTGATGAATTGGATCGTATTTACGATTCCAATGGAATAAATTATGACCATGGAATATTAGTGTTTAAGCCTTTTTATTATATCCTTACTCTGTCCTAGACATTGAGTTCTACCTGGATTCTTCCTCTTGAAATTTTTTTTTCTGTAAATATACATGTATGGGTATTTATATATTCTGCATACGTATGTATATTTTTTCCACTAATATTATATATATATATATATATATATATATATATATATTTATAATTAAAAAAAAAAATTTATAACATAAGTATGTTATAAAATCACTACAAAAAATAGCCATTTTGTTTCAACACACTCTGTGTCTTATCAAGTGATGGTGTTGAAAATAAAATAAATGGTTTTAAAAGTTTCAGATTAATTAACGATCCTACACTAGGGGGAGCATTGTTACAAAAGCTAGAATAACCAATCAAAAACGAAGTACAGAAAGATTCAAAAGCTTGACAACAAAATCCAGCTATTATAGCTATTTAGATCTTTAAATACGTGTAATATTAAAAATAATTTTTACTAACTAATAATTATAAATTTATATGATAAAATTTAATATTAAAATTAAAAACTGGCAATTTTTAAAATCCAAATTTAATCACTATTAAGTTTACTTTGTATTGAGCACTCTTTTAAGAATAGTAATTGTTGGTTATTGGAATTCATTCCGTGTATACCAATTATATACTTTTATATATATATATATATATATATATATATATATAAAGTTGGTTTCTCCAACAAAGGGGGTTGCAAGTTCCTACTGAAGAGCACATTTTCTGTATTAAGTCTTTTGAATGGTAGACATAATTTATTTATAAAAGCAGGGTGTTTATTTAAACATGGGTATCTACAAAATTACATTTGGAATTATAGGAGATATATAAGCAAAAAAATTACAGTACTTTTTTGATTTACTGTGTTACTTAGAACAGTTACTTCATTTATGTAATGTAAAATACTTAGTTAACAATAATACAAGTGGAAAAGCACTATTGGTTATTTATGGCTGGTTTAAATACTACTCTGACAGTTTGTGTCACATGGCAATAATTGTAAGATAACTGATGCAGTAAAATAAGTAAGCATTTTAAGTTCTTTGATTATTGGTGATATAAAAGATGACTGGCAAGTACTGCGATTAAGTTTTTTATTATATTTTTCTTGCATTCCTACAAGTGATTTCTTTTCTGGACATATTGTGTAAAACCTCAAAGTGATCTGTGGATCTGAGCACTTTTGACTAATCTATTGGCAATTATCAAGGATTTTTTTTTTCTTTAACTGAATATATAGAGACTTTTTTTATGTTTTTTTCACAAAACATTTGGAGAGTTTTTATACACTCAGATAAGAAATCAGTTGTATGAATGCAAGAAAAAATTTAATAAAAGGCTTAATCACGGTGCTTTGTTAATCAGTCATTGAAATTTGCATAAAAGATGGATTGCTGCCTAAATATATATACTCCAAAATTCGCTTGAGGATGAAATGGAAATAATGTTTTTAATTTAATCACAAAATTAAATTTGTGGCTTTTAGCTTCCATTTTTGAAACATCGTTAGAACTGTGTAGTGAAAAAAAAAACATATTTTAAATCAATTAATTTATAACACGTGTGTGTATATATATATATATATATATATACACACATATAGTGGACTCGTAGATAGTTTTCTGATATATACATAAGCTTTACAGAAAAATATTTTTATTAATGTAAATATACTTAATAAATTAATATGTAACTATTTAAACAAAAAGCAAACATCTATACCTGTATATCACCTTTATTAATTTGCTAAGTCAATGTAATGGTTGTCTTTTTTCTCACTTATTGTATTTTTCATTTGGATTTGAAATTTTTATTTTCAGATCATCATCTTGGGAGAGCTGTTATCATGTTTGGGATGCCTTATGTTTACACCCAAAGCAGAATTTTAAGAGTATGTTTAAACATTTTACTTATTAACCTTTCTCAATTTCTGTAAATTGATGTGTAATTGTGTAATGAAGGGCAAATGGGAAAGAAAAAATATATAATTACTGTAAAGAGGTAAAATTGAAAAAAAAACAAACTGACTGCTTATTGTTCCTCACTCTTTTTAACTCTGTTGAGGAATATGAAAGGTGTACACACACACATATCTATATATATATATATATATATATAATATATAGGATTAATACGAATATAAAATTTGTTACTTAGTAGTTGATTGATGTTATATTCAGCAACTCCACTCCAAAGTTTTAGACACTCTCCAGCAATTTTCACACAAGTGTGTGTGTGTATATATATATATATATATATATATATATATATTAAAGGCAACAGACATTTTGAGTCAGTTAATTTTATTCTGTCAGAAATTGTTGAATTAAGAAAAGTCATTCAATAAAATCAATCGACACCAAATGTCTGTTGTCTTTAATAACATTTGCTGTCTAAATACACATTATATATATATATATATATATATAGCACAATGAGTTCTAATAGTAATAAAACTGCTCAATGTAAATAAATGATTTATAATATACTATTTTTTATTAATGTTTTATCTGGTTTGTAAATCACTACTTCACCCCCCAAAAAATTGATATATTTTTGTATCTTCTTCCTCAGGCTCGATTGGAGTATTTACGTGAAAATTTCCAAATTCGTGAGAATGACTTCTTGACATTCGATGCCATGAGACATGCAGCTCAGTGTGTTGGCAGAGCTCTGCGAGGGAAGACTGATTATGGCATTATGCTTTTTGCTGATAAGGTATTATCTTTTTACATTCTCAGTGTTTTTTTGATGGTAGTTTTTCTTGTCTATTATTGAAGTTATTTCTTTTCATTTCAAACCTAAAACCTACACACGGGGTCACTGAATAATTCTGAGACTAAGCCACTTTCCAAAATCTAACCAAACAATTTTTTTTTAATCTTTTCTTGGTCAGTATGAGAATTTTTCAGCACTCATGTGTATATTTCTTTTACTTTTCTGTAAGGATAAAGGTGCCTTGATAATTTTGTCTAATTCAATGAGAGCTTCACAATTTTCCAAATTTTCTGAATACAGAATTTGGGTAAAAATGGGATTGCTATCTGTTGTATATACCCATGTATCATGCAAATTTTGAAGCTAATTTTAAGGGTGTGGTTGCATGATACACAAGATATAATATTAGCATATGTACTGCTGGCCATGGCTATGCTATTGACCAAACTATATATCCATTTACTGTCGTCAAATTAGCTTCAAAATTAGGTCTTCAAAGGTTGCATGATACACAAGTATATACGGTACAAGAAAAAAATGATGAAATTAAAATATTGTTGAAGTGCATTAATCACCACAAAAATACGATATATTCAGAAAATTTAAATAATTTTCAAGAGTTTTGGTATTTCTGAACAAGGCATTATCATTATTTACAAGTGGACTATAGTCAAGTGGATTAAAGTGTTGATTTGTGAATTTGGTGATCTAGCAATTGTGAGTTCAATCCCTGAGATGGGTAGTGCAGAATTAGACTCAGTGGAAACACAGTGAGTAATAACTAAGCAATATTAAATAACTAGATGAGATATCCCTAGACATGAACAATCTACACCTGTAGATTAAATAAAGGATTCAGTTTGAAATTCCCTGAAGGTTACTCTGATTGACAAGAACTTGATGAAGGCCAGAGAGCATAACAGCTGAAACATAACAAAATGAAGACAATAGACTGAGTGTAAATAAGTTTTGGTGTAGAAATTAAAAAAACGCAAAAAAAAAAAAAAAAAAATCTGTTCATATCAATGCTTTACTGGTTTGGATGTACCTTCATTTAGCTAACAGGATGTGCAGCTGGTGTAATGTATAGAGGCTTGGAATGAGAAATCAGAAAGCTGAGTTCAATTTCCAGTTGGGTTTGTTACATTTACTTATGTGCAAATATCCTGGGGAAAAGTTAAATAGTGGGACTTGTATCTGGAAAAATCCTTGTTATTCTCAAAAAAATTAAGTAATATTCAGTTGCAAAAAAAAAAAAAATGTATTTAAAATATGTCTTAGCTTTAGATAACTCACAAAGGGTTGATAAACCGTAAAAAAACAAATCAATCATTTAGCTAATGGTTGTTAATATTAGAATTTTAAAGGTGATAAATTATTTTCTACTAAATGCTGAAACAAATATGTATTATATTTTACATGTTATGAAACAATTTTCCTGCCAAATGTCATTTTTCAAATTAGCATATCAGTCATATGTAACTAAATTTCTTCAATCTTACATTCAGTTATTCAATTACACTGATAATCACCTGACTTTGATTTAACAGGTTTTGACATCCATCTTCCTTTTTTATACTAAAGGTCACCCAATGCAAGGCTCGAGAGCCACCCGAGATAGTTCTAGAATGGTTATAATGAATGAGGTGTGCGATATGACTGAAAGAGAAGGTGATAAGAAGTGAAAATTATGATGATATAAGGATGATCGGTAACAGTTGACTCTTGACCTGAAGAGGCAATAATTCCAAAAATACACCTACCAGAATGTCAACAGTAGTGGCCTAAGAAATGGATGATTTGAATATTGCAAGTAGCTGCTGGACTTATTAAGTAACATTCTAGTTGGATATATATATATATATATAATTTCAATAATAGGTTTATATAGCTCAATGTTCACCTATCATCCAATTCACACTCCTCCTTGATCTTTTGAACAGTAAAGGTTTATCCCTTGTTTCTTGCTTAGGATTGGGTTTCCGGTTCCTTCTGAAGCCATTCATTCTCAGTAGCCCCTTGCATCTTAGTGGCATTATTTAAAGAAAACATTTATCATGTCATTCCAATGTAATTTTTTTCGACTCCAGCGTTATGCCCGTGTTGATAAGCGTGGCAAACTTCCTTTGTGGATCCAGGAACATTTAAAAGACAGCCTCTGTAACTTGTCTACAGATGAAGCAGTGCAGGTTTCAAAATGGTTCCTGAGACAAATGGCTCAACCTTTTCGAAAAGTAAGTAGTTTCTCCTTTAGAGATTTCATGTTTGATCTTTTCTAAACTACTTGAATAATTGCTATTAAAAATGTTCTATTCTATGAATGTAGGTAAATTAATTTCAGTCGAGAGCTCAATGATAAAACATTTAATTTTCAACATAATCTCCTTCCTTCCTTCTCAATGAAGTTTATTCAGAAATGAATATTAATTATCATCTATACTTGAGTAAAGTGTGAGTTTTTATGATTGACCAATGCTTCTTCATTAATCAAGTATTATACAATGAAACTTCCAAATCAAAATTCAGCTAATAACTATATACTAGACTGAATTAGTTGATCAACCTTTTATGTGATGGTTAAAAGAAAAATTGTCAAGCTGAGTTCGAATTTCAGTTGAGTTTGTTATCCGCTTGGGAAAGGAATAAATCCATCTTTTCACCCCCAGCTAAGACTTAAATAACGGATGACTGGGCTCTCTTACCTTGATGCAGTAATCAGTCTAAAGGGAAAAAAAAACAACTCTGAATTCAAAACCAGCTTGAAGAGTGATGGGCTCTGTCAAACTATCTTGCCCTACACATACCAGTTACAATGACTGCAAGACATGTGGCACGGCTGTTTAAAAGCCTTGTTTTTGTCATATAGGAAAATCCAACATGGCGCGTAAACGAAATATTCAGCAAAAAATCTCATTCGTCAGTAACATTTTAAACACCTCATAGAATGTAAAGTTCTTAAAGAAAACCTATGCCAAACTGTTTTCCTGAATCCTTGATGACTTGGCTGTCCGAAAATGATAATATCAAGATGAAATAATGGAAACCGACCGTGAAAAATACAATTATTATTTTCGATCAATTAGTAAACTTCTGGACCTTTTAGGGCGACGTTATAGGATCCAGATGGCTATTGTTTGCACATGGAATTATTCACTGGTAATTAATCTTCGATTTGGCTGTGGAAAATGTCACTCGGCAGTTAGCATTAAGAAATTATGCCCAATTTTCTGAGAAAAATCCCCTTTTTTTAATGAAAAAATATTTATTTTCGCTTCAAAATAACATCATTCAAAATTCATTCCTTTCTTTCATTTGGCATGAACATCATTGAATAAAAGGAATGGCTAAATGGACTGGCGATGGGAAATACGAAAGATATGCGGTGAAAAAAAACAATGTCATCTGCTAAGTGTTGTTGTCATCACCCAGGTGACGGGGTGTTAAAAACAAAACAAAACTCATCAAGCCATTGTTCAAACATAGGTTATATCAAGCCCTAGTAATGGTGAACCCTTTTTGTTCACTCTTTGCTTTTATCTGGGAGTGATGGGTTTTATTACAACTTGTTCTAAGGTTTACTGTTTATTGCTGGCTGACCTTTGACCTAGACGTCAAAGTCAATTAGGTTTAATTTTCCTTATCGCTATTTTTTTTGGAAAAAAAAAAACTTTTGGTTTCTGGTGGTTAGGAATTGCAGATAAATCTCTTGCATTTTACTAAAGATTTCCGTGGCCAGGCGTCAATTTTTTTTAACCCTTGGCAGTCATATAATTGAAAATTAACAATGGATTTTGTCGCATTTTGAACCTCTAGGAATGTTGATTTCCTTCAAAACTCTCAATTTTATGCCTGAAATAGTTTGATTAGGATTTAGGCTTTCTGATTTTCAAAAAAAAAAAAAAAAAAAAAAAAGTTAATTTCCCATTAATGGGGGAAATATTTGTTTAGAACAAGAAAAAAAAATGCCAAGTTTTCACTATTTTTTTCACATTTTACCCACTGAAAAAAAATTTTGAGTCATTTACACCAGCTAATTTTACTTTTAAATGAAAGAATATATCCTTTGTTTTCAGAAAATACCTAGTTTCATGGGTTTCAGATCAAGTTTAGGTGATGATAAAACAGTCATTTTTCAATATTTTACCCCTATAAAAGTATGAAAATCCATTTTTTTTGAGAAAATAAGCTGACAAAATGACTTTTGCCATTTTTGTAATGATTTTCACTTGGGAAAGAATTTTTACCATAGGAAACCTGAATTGACTTTATTTAAGTTCAGTGGGGCTATAGGAAACCTCAAACAGCTGTGGTGGTTGCCATGCACATGACTAATTAAAAGATTACAACAGATAAAATTTCTGGGTTGTGTCAAAAGTAGTTAATATTTTGTCTTTTTGCATATCATCTGTAATTGTCTATTGTAGGTTTCTATGTATTGTCTTTATCTCAATTACAGGAAGATCAGTTGGGATTATCTTTACTCACTTTGGAACAACTGGAATCAGAAGAGATGCAAAGGAAATTGGAACAGCGTACGCAGTATATATGAGAACAGGAATTACAAATTTGGATGTTTGCTTTCTCAGCCCAAATTCAAAGATCTATTGCATCTCAGCCAAAAAATTTTCATGTACCACCAAAAATTGACAAAGACTGAAAGCATTTTAAAGTGGATGATTAATGTTGGGACCAGAGTTTTTGCCTTCATGATGAAAACAAAGGAAATGGTGCTTATGCACCATTTATGAAAAAAAAAAAAAAAAACTCAACCGGAGAGAAAAAACTGAATATTTATATGGTCAACATTTAGACTTACTTATTTTTATATGTATTAAGAGCTGAAGAAGACTTGATAAATTTCACATGGAAATTAAAGATTTTACTTTGTTGTTACTTTTTCAGTAGCAAATATTCATTATAGCATAGGAAGATGTTTTATTTTTTGGTTTGTAACTAATCCCACTGTTAATTCAGACAAGTAATGACTAAGGACTTTATTTTATATTTGAATTTAAAAAAAAAAAATCACTACCAAGGCTACTTTTAATATACTGGGTGTGGCAGAAATACCTCTTACATATTGGTAAGACATTAGCTAGTTGGTTGAAAGCAGTATTGCCACTAATGGGAGAGTATTTCTGTTGCATTCGGTATTTGTATATTCATTTCACTTTCAAAATATAAACAAATAAGTATTGTAAGGGTTAATATTTTGCATGATGGGATGGAGAGGCATTTAGAGCGCCGGACTAAAGGAAATACCTCACTTTTACGACAGAGCTAAGGTACTCTGTGCCTGAGGTGTGCCCAGCTGGCTTGAGTTTTTATTTTTTATATACCCAGTCCACGTATGATTATCAATTGAGACTTGCATTACATTCCACTTGAGTGAGAATGCAGGTAAAAATACCTACACTGAACTTTTTTTTTTTTTTACTGATTCAAATCAGTATTTCAACAATTTAAGGGGAGAATTTTTAAAATTAAGAGGAACAGACTTGAATATAATTTAAACCTTTACCAGTCAAAAAACAAAACAAAACCTGTCTATGCCTGCTAACACTAGGATAAAATGTGAATGAAAGTGACATTTTATTAAATGTTCATTTATCGTTGATGCACATCTCTGAACAAAACCTTAATCTTCTTTGATTTCAGTTGGCAAACTCAATTTACCTTTTTATTTTACAGTAACAATGACCACAAGAGAAATATTTGAATAATTTTATAATTCAAACCTTTTCAGTTTTAAGAAAATCTAATTTTTAACTTAGATAATCTTAATTTTCCCCAGTGTCACTTAATTTGAATATGAAATGTCAGACAATGACTACTACAAAAACTGCAGAAAAAAAACAAAAAACACTTGTTACTAGGCTGAGTCTTGTAGAATTCTATAAAAAACTTTCAGTATTTTTTTTTTTTTTCCTGTTAATTTACAACTGAATTTTAACATTCCAGCTTGGGGCTTTTTTTTTTTAAAAAAAAAAAAAAAAAAAATTGTGCACAATAGGAATAATTTATGAAAATTTTATCTACTTATGTGCTGTTCAAAATGTCTTTTTCAAAACACATTTCAGCTTGTCAGGCTAATATGAATGCAGTAATATGAAACTGAAATGTATTTTGAAAAGACATTTTGAACAGCACATAAGTAGATAAAATTTTCATAAATTATTCCTATGGTGCGCAACTTCTGTCTCATCTAGGAATATATCGACATCAAAAATTTTTAATTTCAGATTCTCCCTGGTGTAAACAGGTTAGAGTTTTCCTCATTTGCACAATCCTTAAAGTAAGCCAGAGTAGCTCTTCCTCAGCTATACTGGGAAAGATAAAAATGATGGCAAATATACTGATTTTCTCTGCCTTTTATGCCAAACTTCACACCAGCATGTCGGATGTTATTCTAAGGTTTGGAATAATGGGATAGCCCAATCAGTACATCAACTATTGTTTTTATTTTATGGCTTATATATTAAAACTTAGATGAAAATTTTCTTTGGATTTAGCTACTTGTATTAACAAATGTGTTTAATATTCGAAATTAGTTGCAACCAACATTTAAACTACATGCATTTTAAAATTTTATTGGATATCTTTTGTAGTTTTAGACTATTAAAAAAAAAAAAAAAAACACCTACCTTGAAATGAATTTATTTTTGCAAATGGTATAGAAAAATATAAATCCATTCTTTATCTACATGGAATTTTTATAAGGCAGCACAGGGAAAGAAAAAATTTACTTGCCTTGTTATCTTTTAATAGTTAAAAGTTGGTCATTACAAGACATTCATAATTTATCTTTATTTAAAAAGTACAACTGCAATTAACAATATCAGGATTTATTTAACCAAATAAAGTATAACTATTCAGGCATATAAAATTACGAAATGAAGCCCTGACCAAATTGAAATTAACAATTCTCTTTACAAAAATTATGTAGACAAATGAAATCAATGCAATGGCTTCTCCATGTCAGTACTAAGGCTAAGTAATTTAATTATAAAAAAAGTGGATTGCCATTACCACTGCAGAGATTAAATGCAGTCTTGTAAATAGCATAACAGGACAATAGCCAAGTGCAGATTTTAACAATTCAAATGTTTTTTTTAAAAAAAAAAAAAAAAAAAAGCCAGTTATTTAAGTTAATAACTGGCTTTTTTTGGTTTAAAAAAAAAAAAAAAAAAACACTAGATATCTTTGTATTACAAATGACAATAAAATAAGCATTGGAGAGAAAAAAAAATACAAAAGGAAAAGTTTAAATTAGGTGTAATATTCAGATGTTTGTAACCAATCTTTATTGGATGTGGTAATAAAATAATACAGAGATAAAAAAAAAAAAGTTTATTCCAGGTCCACAAAAGACAACTTATAAAATTAAAGCAAGTTAAATAAATTGAACACAAAGATCTCATTTCAGTCAGGGCTGAATTGTGTGTAAACACTTGTCACTATACAGTTTTATATAGCTGGGAACAGGAGAGGTGGGTTCCTTCCTACAAGGCCAGTTTCATAAGTAAAAGAGGAAGGTTGAAATACAGACACTTAACATCTGGTGATTCAATGGTTGAAGTGCTGAGTAAGATAGGTCAGCTACAGGGTTTTATGTATAATGAATAAAAATATATCCATCTCACCTGAAGTGTGTGGGGGGTGGAGACTACTAGTGAAATTGTTTTCAAAAAATTTCATGAATATATAATTTGTCTGAATAGTGAACCGTGTTTCATGAGTTCTTGGCAAACAGTCTATCACTATTCAAAACTAAGTGATTTTCTTTTTTATTATCCAATGTTTGATAAGTTTAAGTTTTTCCTTCTCCCTCTCCTCTTCAGAGCGCCATTGTGTAAAAATATTAAATTTTGTAACAAAGTAAATAACTAAATAAAATTAGAAAATCTTTATATTAAGAAAAAAATTGGGCACTTTTTTTTAGTGGTGGTGGATATGAATAGCAGTTGGGACAATTGCAAAACAAATGAAAAATAGAAATAAATTCATTAAAATATTTTGTGCAAACTAACATATCTGAAATCTGTGCCAAATGGTTATAATTAATGTACACAAAATATCTTCCATTTTTATTTCAAAGCAAAAAAAAAAAAAAAATGGAATGAGTTTTCTAGAATGAAAACTGCTATAAATTCAAAAAGCAATCCATGCCAATAATTAGACAAGTAATTAGTTTAAATGTCATATCAGATTAGAGGTGGGAAATTGATAAACCATACAGAAATAACTTAGCCCAAGTACATATTTTTAAATAAATATAAATTCCTAATTTCTATAATTAAAGAAAAGCCTATTTTCTTTGCCAAATTATAACTGTCACTAAATACAGAATTATATGCAGAGGGGATTGAAAAGACTATTGTGAGAATTTTCATATTCCAAGTTAGTTTTGCTATAATGAAATATCCAAAATTTCAGTGACAAGAGGCCCCCTCTCTCCCTGTGTAAAGTTTATTTGCTTGGTCATAATAGTCTAGACACCAACTATTCAGACAATTGATAGAGAGGAATATGTCTGACAGGGTGAGTTCTACAGCAGTAGTAGTTGCAGTAGCATCCTCAGCTTTTTCCCTCCAACAGCAGCAAGGCTGATTGGACGGACAGTTTGTAGCTGAGTGACCAGTTTTTGGTAAAGGAATCAAAGATTGGCAAGAGTACACCCAGTTTAACAACTACTTCACCCCACCCACCCATACTTTGAAAGAAAAATATATATAAATAAAAAATTAAATTTATGTAATATTTTGGAGGGAATCCCACCTTACCAGTTTTGTCAAACATCAGTTTGAATGAAGAAAATATATGGAAGACATCTTGTTTGGAGTAGAGAGAAGAAAAAGAGAAACAAAAATAATCAATTATTGCTTGTAAAATTTACTTTGAACTCAGAACTGATTATACATTTTTTTTTTTTTTTTTTAATCTTATTGGAAAAATGTTACGTGGCTTTGATGTGGGACAGTCCGCTAGAGAAACAAACTTATTTTTTTCATATATCTGTAATTTTTTTTTTTTTTTTTTTTTTTAAAAGTGTCTCAGACTTGTTGAGGTGTGAGTCTACCAAGCAGCAGTAGCAGTGTGTAAATATCTAGTCTTTAGGTGTAGGCTGGAATTGTCAAAGATGGGCAAATATCAACCTATGTCTAAATGAATCTACACACAAAGAGAAGGAAAGAGAAATATGAAGAGGAGGGGCTAAGATGACAGTTTTAGTGTTAAGAACAAAAAGGTCCTGCTCTAGCTGCCCACATAACTCAGCCCAAGTCACCAGTCAAACTTCTCCCTTTATAATGGCCATTTGTTTCAATATTCTGGAACTTTACAGATTAGCTGTAAAGAAAAAAAAGAAAAAAAAAAAAAAAAAAAGTCAATCAGATGTTCATTCAAAATATCTGAATAAAATAAATTTAGTTTACCAAAATTACATACAAATACTAAAAATGTTTATAAAGCTCAGTGGGTGTTTTTTTTTTTTTATTTAAAAAAAAAAAAAAAAAAAAAAAAAATGTGAAACATTTTAAAGCAGACAATTTAGGGTGGAGTGAATTTGAGGGTGGAGTGAATTTGAGGGTGGGTTAATGAGTTGGAGTGTGGGAAAGTATGTCTTTTTTCAAAAATGCTAGTTTTCAAGGTGGTCAGATTTTTCGGATCTAATTAAAATGAAAGTTTTAAGAAAAATTTTAGGTAAATTATTAGATTCATTTTACTGTGTATTTTCACCATGTCAGAAATATAGAAAATGAATTGGGGGGGGGGCAGAAGAGAAGCACTCAATGCCTGCCAGAATGCATTGTTTTATTTTTATTTACTGTAACAAGCATAAAAATCCTCTAAGCACTGGATGCCCATACTTTAGGTCAGCTCTTTGTGCTACATCTAAACTATGCTTAGAAAAGCACAAAAAGCACCAATGTACAGGCAGTGCCCATGTTCAATATAATTTTTAACTAGTTCCTGCCATTAACTTTTTACAGGTTTTAATTTTATATATGTATATAAATCTATATCACATACCATGCTTTATAAATGTAGAGCTTTTTAACCACTATATTCCCATGAGATTCAGATATTTAAAATGTTCTGAAAATATTCAACTGTTGACATTAACTTTATATATAACTAGCCTAGAAGCCACCCTTTGGGCAAACTTTAGGTTGGCCTTTGGTCTTTTACCTTCAGCATCCTAGGTAGATAAGTTATAAGGATATAATCTTTATTTGATAATCTTTGTCAACTTTAAGTTGTGTGCAAAAAAAAAAAAAAAAAAAAATATGGTCCCTTCACATGAAGTCACTCTTAAAAAGAGATGTTAGAACCCAAACTATTTCAAATGTGTCACAGTATGAATGAAAACCCATCAGACCATGCCCCCCACTTAAGTTATGGTTTAATTAGATATCAATTGCAATGAAAAGCAAAATTGAAGTTAACATTAAAGATTTTTTTTTTAAAAAAAAAAAATGTTAAGGTAGTTTATGACCTGGCAAGAAAAAACAAAAACTGCTATATATATATATATATATATATATATATATATATATATATATATATATATAGATCAAATTTCTAAGTTAAAAGTTTTGAGTTGTTGAATATTTACCAACAATACTCTATATTGACAAACTTTGTAAAACCAGGTTGTCCCATAAGCCCATACAGTCAAAGAGCTGGGTAAATAAGTTATTACAATTTAAACCATTTAATTCCTTTATCATATTTAATGAAGTAAACCATGATCATTTTAGTTTGCAGAAGTTAGCATTATTTCTTTTATCTATCTTAAATAACTGCTAAAAAGTAACAGTAATTTTATTTGATTCTTAATATTTATGATCAGTCTCAGTGAGATGTCAAGAATAAACTTTGTAATTCTAAATTCATTGTCAATCTGATAATTTAATGTTTGTTAAAATGGTGGATATGAAAATTATATTACTTTGTATAAACTGAAGAGAAATTTGCAGCTTTACCCAAAATGGGTCTAAAAGACCCTAATTTCCTAGACAAGTTGCTGCTTGCTGATGAAGATTTTAGAGTTACCTTCATAATTTTCAAAGTTTCCCCACTCTGGTACTACGAGCTATCCAGACTGGTTTTTTTGTATTGCTTATATAAATTGAAGGTATTGTTTATTAATCTTGAAATTGCATATGGGGAGATATCTACATTATGGATAGCATAATGGGTTGCCATGTGGAAAGTGAAGTCAGCATGCAGGGTTTAAAGTTCTGACCTACTTTTATTCACTTTAGAAGTATCTGAAAGTTCTAAGAACGCTTAAAGTGCAGAAGAAAAACAATTTAAGTGTCTGAAAAGCCATGCACTGCTGCAGTTCATCTTATTGGAAGATTTGCTAAATTTATGGCAGGAAAGAATATAGATAATATATATTGCATACACAAAAATGGTGTCAATCAATACAGGTATGATTATGATCAAAGGCATGAAATGGAAAACTGGAACTATCCACAATGATCTAAGTATTTTTAATGAATGTTATGACCAATAACAGCATAATGAATTATATATATATATATATATATATATATATATATATATATATATATATATAACACAAAGCATGAAATGTTATGAGAGGATCAAAAGTATTTGAACAGTAGGAAATTCAAAGTCTTATAAATTTGATCTAGATATACAATTACTTAAGAGTTGAAAGTCAAACATGACTACACCCCTGCAAAGATTTTTAAATACCCATTTAAACTAGATTAATCAGGTTAGTTGTCATTAAAAGAACATACAACCTCAGTCAAGAAATTATTTTTTTTTTTTATTGAAATACAATTAAATATGCATATACATTTATTTTCATGTACATTTTTAACCAATTCACCCTCACCTCTATAACAGATGTAAATTTACAATATAGAATCCCTTTTGGGCATGATATAATTTTTCAGATTTTTAAAAAATACATACTGTTTATACATCAGAAAAGTCATCAATATCAGTGTAGGATATTAGTATTCATTACAAAATAACTTTATTGATTTAAATACATTGACATCTAGTTTAAGCCAAAATTTGAACAAAGTACAAAAATAGATTTAAATTAGTCTTTCAGCAGCAGAAATTCAACCTTAAGATATCAACATTTTTGAAAAGCAATCCCAGTATACTGCCTATTTGAATTAAGGTTTCAATATTTAGAGTTACTTATAGTAAAAGCTACAAAAAAAAAAAAAAAAAAAAAAAAAAAAAAATAGAAGAGGCTAAATTTCTCACAAGGATTCAAATTCATCAATTCGCTTCTTTGTGTTGCCTTGTCGGATCTGTTTCAATGTCTTGTACTTGTCTCTGCCTTGTCTGACATTTTCTGCGTGGAGGATGTCATTTTTTGTCTCTTTTGTAATATCTTTGGACGTCTGCAACTGCTCACCAAGCACCTAAATTTGTGAGGGAAAGAAAAGTCAAGCATCAAATATTTGGTAGAAGTATGGGGGGGGGGGGGGAGGGAGAGAAGAGATTTGTTTCAGATAAGTATGGTTTACCAAGGATGAAAGCAACATGTCCTAGTTTATTCAAGTTTGAATATGGTTTCTTTAAAGTCTTAAAAAGATTTTGGATTGCAATTTTTATTTGAGTGAATATTGTATTGATTTTTTTTCCAGACAAGTTCTATTTAACCCATATTAGAAGGGGAAGAAACTTTTCCCAATAGTATTTCCACTCAAGTGAATGTAACAAATTTGACTGGAATTTGAACAGATTTATCATTTGGAGCAGTTCACCTTTAAAGCACCTGCAGGTTCTGTTCAACAGAGTCAAGACTGAAAAAGCAATGAACTGCCTATAGCATCCTTCAATTGAATCCATTTAGCAAATGGACCCAGAGTTCAGAGCAATGAAATTAAAATTGCTAGCCAAATTATAGAAATGGATAGAAGGGCATCCACTCCATCCTATCAAGGTGAACTGGATGTTTATATATTGTAAAGGAACCATTTTGCTTAACTTGGTTTACCACATTTCAAAGTTTCCAAAAAGTTATTTATTGAAATTTATTTCCAAAGTTAATTTATATTTTAGGTACATGTGAAATGGCAACATCAGTTTAAACTGAGACCAAGAGAATGTAGAAACCAACAAGGTAATTCCAAAAAGAGGAATCGTACTCAAGTAGACAAATGCAGGAACAAAAGGTTCAAGAGAAATAGGTTAAGAGTTTAAAAGGAACCATTTTCCTAGGTTGGGTTATATCTTCACAATACAGGACTATGTCCGTCTAAAAAGAGCATAAACAACCAACTGGTGTGCAGTAGTGTTCAAGAGCAATATTTTGACAAGCAGTGAGTGTACATCAGTAATACCAGTGAAATGATTCTTTTAAAGATAAAAAAAATCTGCAGCTTTTGGTATGCATGGATGCCTCCAAGGTAGGAGAGATGATATTCATGCAAAGCCTCAGCAAGCAAGCATCAATATCATTTCAATACTAACAATTGTTAACATATCCTATAGTCATTATTGGTCTTTAAAAGAATTTGGAATATCATCCACCAAAATGAATCACTTGCTCAGAATATGCAACTGATTTCAGCCAAGTTTTGGCACACCTCTATACCCACTAATATCTTACAGCTCAGGGTTGTTATAGCTCACCTCTCAGAGCTGAGTACAGATAGATGCAGTGTTATATGGGATTGACATACCCCCACCCCATCTAGCCTAAAAGTATTGAAGTCACTAGTAGTTTTAAACTAAAATACAACAAATTCAGTCTAAGAAGAAAACTTATTAAAAGTATTCTGAAGGTGGTTCAGCTGTATAAGTGAACTAAAAGTTCCAATCATTGAAAAAAAAAAACAGTTAAGAACCCAAATGAGTGAACTCCAGAACTGTCAATTTTCATGATAAAGTTATGGCGGAATAATTTTTTTTTTTTTAATTCAATATTGGTCCCAATGTTGGGAAATGTCAAGTTATCCACGTTCACTTGTATATGAATCAAGTTTATTATACCCAAATTTTTATAGTTGCAAACAATGCAATAAATGCAAGTGAGAGGTATGCTTGCTAATCACACCAAGAACCTAACTTCCAAGGAACACATTTAAAAGTGTTTGACAAGTATTGTTACCTTCAGTTGTTCTTGAAGACGCTGGTTCTTCTCAGCTAAAGTTTGTCTTTCCTCTTCAGGTCGTGGTATTTCTTCATGTTCATTAACATGAAGTTCAGCACCTGAAATTTTAGAGTTAAGAATTTTATCAACCTATAGAACTAGAGTAATGTTAAAAAAAAAAAAAAAAACTTTAAAATTAAAGGATAAGGTTTAGGACATTAAAATCAAACTGATCAAGTTTGGATGTTTAGAATTATTCTAGTGTACAGAACCTATTGTGATAGAAAAATAAGGCTACAGCTTAGTTGTAATATTGAAATTAAATTGCATTAATACCCACTATCCCATTTTGGGGATTGTGGACAGATTATAGGTTGAAACCAATAACTAACAATTTTATAGCAGATTAAATGAATTAACGTTTGCACCACACTTTATAAGTATCTGGCTTGAGCCATTTCCTAATGTTATCCTTATTACAATCGAGAGAAAAAAAAACAAAAAAAAACAAAAACAAACTCATTCAAAAGCAACTTACCATATTCAGTGTTCTCCTCACTCTCCACAGTCTCGTCATAGTCATTCTCTTGAACATGAGTCTGATTCATCTTGTTCATTTGAGATTGTTGCAAAATAAGAGCACTGTAGGCAGCATCTTTTTCTTGAGCTTCCAACCTGATGGACTCAAGTTCATTCTTCAGTTGACGCATAGCCTCTTCCTTCTCAGATATTTCAGCAGCACGCTTTTCGGCAACTTCTTGAGCCAACAAGGCCTCCTCTTCCTGCAGTCAACCATAAACAATTTTCAACTACAACTCGAATAGGCAGTGTATAATAGGTGATATAAAGTAAATTGATGGTTTGAATTAAGCTACTAAGTATTAAATATTTTATCAATTTAATTTTGCTTTTGTAAATATTTCGACGTATTAAGTTAAATTATTTGTTACAGCAGTTACATTAACATTACATGTTGAAGCCAATGAGTAATTGGCTAATGTTAACAGTTAAATACAAAGCATCAAAAAGTGATGTTGACAAAATTAACATTGTTAGTCTTGAGGTATTATGAATATGGTTGTCTGGTACAAACCAATATATATCTCTAGCAAATGTACAAAACAAACAAAAAAAAACAAAAAAACAAAAAAAAAACGTTACCTTTTGTGTCCTGACTTCCTTCTCCAAATCAGCATGCTTTAAAGCTTCAAGTTTCATCTCTTCAGCTTTTGCCCTTTCTTGTTCCAAATTTTCTTTTTCTTGGTTGAAGACATATAAGCTATTCTCTAATTCTTGTTTCTTGGCCTCAGACTGTTCCAAATCTAAAAACATTTTAGACCATATAGTATTGAGTACTCTTAAAATTAGGAAAAGTTTCTCGCATCTAAATGGAAGGACTGAAATGGTATTAATACATGCCTGCAAGTCTTATAGAAAATTTAAGCCAAATTGAAATCACTGAATAGCATCTAAGAATGAAACTTTTGCCAACACATGTTATGCTTTTAGTGTCTTGATTTAACTTAAATTCAAGCTGATTTGTAGGCTAAGGAGAATTTTATCCCAGATTATGTTTGCTGCCTCGAAAAAAGAAAAAAAAAAAATCTAAAATTGCCTATATTTAGATTAACCTCTTGCTCAAAAGTTTTAATGGCTAAATTATAAGCAAATTCATAAAGATGAAAATACAAGTTTAACCGAAACTACCCACCTTTCTGGCGCATTTTTGCTTCTGAGATAAGTTCCTGAAGTCTGTCCTCATAAGCCTTTAACTTTTTCTCAACTTCTTCTCTCTTCTTTCTCTCCTTTTCTATCTTTTCCCTTTTAAGGAAAAAAAAAAAAAATTTATAGAAGTCAGGATCATTTCAGCTGTTAAGAAATGTTAAGTTTAAAAAAATAGCCAAGTTTTCTTTATATTGGGTAAGTAAGAGGAAATTAGTTTTGCATTAAGATACAAAATATGCCAAGAGATCAAGTTTAAATTTAACAGCATGTATGTTTGCCTCAAAGTCAGATAATTTAAGTAGTTGACAATAAGCAATCAAAATTTTAGTTGTAAAACATTCACCAATTGGTACATTTTTTCATCAATTTAGGAGATGAACAGCAAATCAATCCATTAACCCTAGATAAGAATTCCAAACAAAAATATTTTAAACAAGTAACTACAAAAGTACTTGGTATGTAGATTTTATGAAAGTAACCATAAAAGATTGACAGGAAGGTCTTATTTTACAGTTGAAATGTTTAGATGCAACTAAGTTGCATGCTATCATAATTCATTCTCTAGTCAACTTTATCAAAAAATTGAAATACAATGTAAATCATTGCCTTATGTCAATTCACGTTTCATTGTTTTTTTTCTATTCTCTCACCCTAAGTAATTCATTGTATTTTAGTGGCTTATTGCCTCGATTTATGGGGGTAAGATGTTTTTAGTGATTTAGTTTCCATTATTTTTTGGAGGAGGAATAAGTGAACCAACCTATCTTGTTGTTTGGCCAACTTTTCTTCTCTGGCTTGAGCCTTCATCTGTTGCACTTCAATGGTATCTGGTTTTCGACGGCGCATATACAACTCATGATTACCCATACAAAGAGCCAAGATTCTCTTGTTAATCCGTAATCGAGGTGCATAGAAAACAAAGTCCTGTAATTAAAAGGATTCATTTAAATTACTTGAGACATCTTTAATTGTATTAAGACCTTTTATATTCAAGCTTGCACAGATTTGAACTTGTTAGGACATTAGAAATTTAATTTCATTGATAGATATATTAAACTAGAAAAGTTTAAATGTCAGTTTAAAGTTATCCTTTTTGAACATAATACATCCTTGGGTTAATTATATTAAGCAAACAAGTTTAACAAAGCAAGAGGAGCAGATATCTCAGTGATATTTTAGTTTGATGTTTACAATGAGATTAACATTTTTTCTGTGAAAGCCAAACAGAAAAAAAAAAAAAAAAAAAAAAAATAAAATAAAATAAAATAAAAAAATTCAAGAATTCAGAATTACAGTTGCCGGAATCACTTACTGGAGCTTTCTTATCAATAGGTTTGATTACAAATTTCTTGTCGTTAAAAGAAATGTTTCTTATTTCACTCCATGGAAAACCAATTTTTGGTGTTAACCTAAAATAAAAAAACAGTTCAGTGTTACAAAGGCCATTAATTATATTGAAAGAAAAAGAAAAAGAAAAAAAAAAAAAAAAATTTACTTGTATAGGGTGTGGCAGGATACCTCCCATAAATTGCCACTAATGTCTTGCTTATCTTCATCTAGCTAATGTCTTAACATTGTGTGGAAAGTATTTTTGCTGCACCCTCTATCAATATGCCAACAAATTTTTATACAGATCAAGTGGAAACATTTTAGCCTTTTTTCTCATGCTAATCAAGTATTCAGCTAGAAGCTGTTCCTGATATACTGTGTGTGCATGCACACACATGCATATATATATAGCACATAAATTTTAGATATTAAAGACAAAAGTGGACAGAATGAGAAGACCCTAGATTGCTTTGCAGCACTTTCATGCCTAGTTTTTGAAGTTAAGCAAAGTACTAGCTACACATGCAAAATGTCAGACTATATACATTACCCATAATGAAAAATTTCTGAAGACTAATGCATGTTAAATTGTATGTCCAAACTGGTTGCATCTCTTAAGATGCAAGACCAGCACTTAAGTGATAGTTGTACAAGTGTTTGCTTTAGAAAGGAAGCAAGGTTTCCTAACAACTCCTTAGTCTAACTGCTTAGCCTTCAAATATTTTTCTAAATATGCAATAGACATTAAAACCCAAGTGTTAAGCATTGTCTGCAATAATTTTCAGAATCACCAAAACCATTGTCAATTTAGTTAACAAGAGTTGCTAAAATTTATAAAGTCTGAAATATTTCAATAGGATTTAAAATAATACCTTTGTTAAAAAAAAAAAAAAAAAAAAAAAAAAAAAAAAAAAACTTATTAGATGAAACTTTAAGCTGATGGCTTAATTTTTTTTCTACTACTGTGGTTATAGTGTGCATGTTATTGTAACAGAATTTCAATATTACTCTTATTCAATGAAGAGATTTCACTCCACTGGACTTCATACATTGTTTAACTACAGATTCAGAAACTGAGCTCATTGCCACCAGGTAAAAAGCAAATACTTAAGCAATGGTCATAATTACAAAGCCATCATTCCATTGAAACCAGTATAGAGACTGGTCAGAATTCCGTTACATTTTACTAAGCACAAAAGTTTGAATACTAACAACTAAGATTTTCTGCATTTTGAAATACAAAATCCATGATCAACTTCAGGAAGTTCCATTAACTCGTTTGTTTTCAGCACTCAATGCTCAAGTTAAACAAATCCATCAACTAGTTTAAATTAAAATCAATTTATCATTTGTATAAATTTGCAATTTAAGCTTGTAAAATGAAATTATTCTACTTACCGGTCATCCTTTTCATAAACATTGAGTCCTAAGGCATCAACACCAAGCCATAAATCAGTTCCACGTTTGTTCTTGATTTCAAAATAATTCACACCATACATTTCTAAATCCTGAGCTATCTTCAGATATTCCATCATAGCATCTTCCCTGAGAAAAAGCAATTTAATGTTACAAATTATGCAACAAATTAAAACTTGCACATAAATTTGTCAAAAAAAAAAAAAAAAAAAAAAAAAAGTCTTTAAAAAGGTTTGTTTTGAGTAAGAAGTCATAGGCTAACAGCAACTAGTTTTGCTGAAGCCCCATTGTGCAATTTCCATGACTCCAATGAGACATCAACTTCTGAATGTGCAATGCGGTTCCAAATACTTCAATTCAGTTAACTAGTTAATAGAGAGAAAAATATATTGTGGAAGAAAAATTCCTGGCAAAAGTTACAGGAATGGTAACTACATCCACACCAATAAAGTAAAACCTTTCTAGGCCCTCTTATTTTAAAGAGGGGGTTGTAAGTCATCTAAGTCAAAGATTTAAAATCGTTATAAAAAGGACTCCTTTCTATAGCAAAGAATTTAAAATTCGAGTGTTAAGAACTTTCTTGTATAGAGTTCAATTTTATTCAGTTGATTTATCCTTTACATACAGAAGTCAAAAATTTAAACTTTACAGGTTACAAAGTATAGCATAGCTGCAGAAATTTAACAAGCATGAGTTTCCTCCCTTTGAACGGAAAATGAAAAGGGCCCCTTTCATGAATATGTTCATAAATTGCTGAGTTGAAAATATTTGTAAAGTTAACCTTTCTGAATATTACATCCAGGGAATTAGTAAAAATTCAATAAATTTTTTATTAGCATGCATTACAAAATCAGGTTAACCAGTTTGAACTTTAATCAAAGGAGGGAAAATTCAAACATTTACTTACCTCAACATTCTTCTATGCTCAGTGTACCAGGTTACTATTCTTTCTTCCCACTGGGCTGGAGCAAGTTTGTGTTGGTCAAATACTCTGGAAAATTTGAAAACCTGCTATTATATCTACTTAAAGTTTTTTTTTTTAATAATTAAAATGCAAAACATTTTGAAGAGCACAAGTTACTATATATATATATATATAAGTCAAAAATTTTGGCAAATCAGATTTTTAAAAATTGGAACCATAATTTATTTACACCAAGTATGTCAGCCATCCTGATAAGCTTTAGCCTTTTGCACATAGTTATTAAGTTGTCAGACTTATCCCTTTTAGTAGGGCAGTTCAACGCTAAACTTAATCTGATACAAATTTTCAAAGTTTGCTACTGATAATTCTATAGCTTAGATGTGTAATAGAACAAATTACAGCTTATCCTTGTATAGTTCAAATCAGATGCTTTCCATATTGGAAATCTACATAGAATATGTACTTGGAACAGCTGAACCCCTTTAGCAGTCAACATGCTCAAATCCACCCCATAAATATTGGCCATGAAAGTCCATGTGTGACCTCCTGCATTATTTGTGAGGTTATTATGGCAAAGTATATGTGGGGTGGATTGAACACTAAATGGTTAATACAATTCCCTGAAAAATTCCACTAGAACCTTAAAAGATTATACATATTAGTTCTTTAAACCAAAGAAATCCTGAAGACTTACAAATTACATTTTGTGAGTCATGTTATTAGACTAAAGTGATATCAGCAAAAAAAAAAAAAAAAAAAAAAATTAATGTCTTCAATTTATTTGAATGGAAAACTTACCTTTGTGGGAGGAGCCGTTCATGTGAGTCATTGACAAAAGATCCTGCTACATGCTTTTCAGAATCATAGTCACCATATTTGGCTTGCAAGGCATATGATGCTAAAAGAACTGAAGTCTCTGGTGGACAATATATTTCATCAGACAGAATTGCACGCTTTACTTGAAGGAAGAACATGCGCTGCAAAAAGATTCAGAGAATGTTTAGAACTTGAAACAAAACAAAAGATGTTAGACAAAACATCTATAAAACTGCTCTTCAAATTATGAAGTTGTTATATAGAGAAAAATATGCAGCTTTTAAGATTCATCTACTTAAATTGGATGTAGGATGGTGCTTGAATGAAAGGAGAGAAAGAAACAGCTTTTCTAGACAACAGGTTTCATCTCCTGGCAGGTGTCCTCAGGTCAATGAAAAACTAAACTGTAAGGAAAGCAGGTTGGATTTTGATGAAGAGGTAATAACCTTAGATGCTACACCCAGAAATACTTTAGGTTATTAATATCTGCTGGATTTGAAATTAGCTCATTCAGAGTGGATCCATTCCCCTCCTCCCGCAGATCATATTTTGCAGTGTTACTATTGTTTTTATCATGATTGGTGATATTGTATAAGAGACTGGCCTGAGGTCAACAATGATGTATAGAGATCAGTGCACTTTCAATGCATTTCCTTAAAGAAATTCTCTTCTAATCAGACCTGCATTTATCAAGTTATGATTAAAACTGATAATTTTCAAAATTTGAACCACACTTCCATTTTAGCAAGAGAGAAAAGAAAATTTCATTGTCCAAATATTTTTTCAAGTATATAAAATCAACTTTTCATCCCACCCATTTTACATTTGGATCTAGTTAACAGGAATATGTCAGAATGAATTTTTAATGTATACCTGTTAAAATTAACCGATATGATCTTTCCTAAGATTTGTACTGATGTGCAAACATTTTAGTAGCACATGTGCCCAGGTTACACTTTGTGAATAAAGCTGTAGTAACATGGCAAATCATATATTTTACAGTACAGAAAGGCAATCTTAATAGAAAGACTAGTCAATCTACACTTTGATAGCTAGTTGAGTTTTACCAATTTCCTAGGAATTATATTACAAGGATTTATTCCAACATTAAAGTCATACAATTGAAACTTATAACAAGACATTCTTGTTAGTTTTTAATGACAAGCTAACACCAAATGAAATATTGGAAATCTCGACTAAAATGAATTACATTCATTAATTTAAGCTTCTCCATTTGTCCATCAATAAGAATTGAACACTACATTCTTTACAATTTTACTTAATTGCCTGAACTAAATTTGAAAATATTAAAATTCAAAATACCAAATATTTAACTTAATCTTAGAGGGAATTAAGATTTCTATAAATTTCTATAAATTTAAGTAAATCTCTTCATAACAAAACGCTTAGACAAAGTTTCTCCAGAAAAAAAAAAAAAAAAAAAAAAAAACCACCTGTGTGACTTCTTGAATAAGTTCTTCAGAGACATCTTCAGGGAAGAATTTGGCTCTAAACTGGAAGTCTATTGGTGTCTCCTTTCTCACATCTTGGCTAGTAACCTTAAAATAAAAAAAAATAAAAAAAATAAAAAAAATTAGCAAAAATTCAGTTGTCATAAGTAGAAGCAGAAAATTACATTAAAATCTATTATTTTTTACCTTTTTATTCAGTTTCAGCCATGTGGTAAAGCCTTTGCTATCTTTGTATTGGAGACCAAAAAACCATATTTCTCTTAAGCCAATTGTTTTTACAACCTGAAGAAAAAAAAAAAAAAAAAAAAAAAAAAAAAAAACATTTTAAAAATTTTTTAACAGCATATTAAATGTGAAATTTCTTTTTCATAATCACAACTGCACTGCCAGGATTTATCTTGCCAAAAATTTTCCAATTGTTTATGATTTAAGGCAAATATCCTAGATCAGTTATCAACCAAGGCATTAGAGCCCAATCTATAATACTATTTAACCTATAGCTAGTAGGTCTTTATAAACAGACCAATCAATGGTAGTATGTCCTTATGAAATTCTAAAGGAAAATATTTTTCCTAATGAAAAAGGCAATAGGTCAATTATCTATAGTAGGTATTTTCAAGCAGTTGCCCCTGAATGGTATGAAATTGTAGTTAAAAGTTCAATTTTTATTAGAAGTGTTATATTAATCTCCCATTCAGCATTAGAAAGCTGAATTTTTAAACAAGCATAATCATCTTATCTTTATAAGAACTGCATTTATTTTCATAGAGTTGATATGAAATAAGCTGCATTTTGTATGTAATACTAGAATGCAGAAAAACTTTAATGTAACAGTTCAAGATTTTAAAGTGCTATATATAGTCTGCAATGCTGTAAGATATTCTGTAATATCTAAATTACAGAAGTACAACCTAAGAAAAGGAACTTAAATTGAAAGAAAAATAAAGGTCACTAAAGAAAACCCAGACTTGGCATAGTTTTGTAAATCTGCAAGCTACAGAAGATGGATTTGTATTATCTGAAGTTTTTAACACTAAAATTTTCAGTTGAGAAAATTGTATAACTATTCTGTTCCTGTATTTGATAGTGAATAAAATAAATTAAGACTTATTTGCACAATTGTTAGACAAGTATTGATTAAAAACAATTGATTTAAAACAAGACTCCAAGTCAACTGCCTGAATGTTACAATTTCAGGCTCACTTTCATTAATGCACTTATTTAAATAAGAGACAGAATGGAGGGAAAAGCAAATCAGTTAAGGTATTAATTCTTAACACATTTGTTAGGGACTATTTTGACTTAATATAGGATCAAAGAATAGGAGAATGAAGCATTAAGATATCAATAGTTACATTTGGAGAAAAATATTTAAGATTTTTTGACATTTTAAAATGAGATAGGAGATGAGATATGGAATGGGATGGGAGATGGGATGGAGATGGGATGAATAGAGATGGAGGATGGGAGATGGAGGATGGGGATGGGGATGGGATGGGGGATGGGGATGAGGATGGGGGATGGGATGGGGGATGGGGATGGGGATGGAGATGGGGATGGGATGGGGATGGGATGGAGATGGGGATGGGGATGGATGGGGGATGGGGATGGGGGATGGGGATGGGGGATGGGAGATGGGGATGGGGGATGGGGATGGGGATGGGGGATGGGATGGGGATGGGGATGGGGATGGGGATGGGGATGGGGATGGGGATGGGGATGGGGATGGGGATGGGGATGGGGATGGGGGATGGGGATGGGGATGGGGATGGGGATGGGGATGGGGGATGGGGATGGGGGATGGGGGATGGGGATGGGATGGGGATGGGGGATGGGGATGGGGGATGGGGATGGGGATGGGATGGGGATGGGGGATGGGGATGGGGATGGGGGATGGGGGATGGGGATGGGATGGGGATGGGGGATGGGGATGGGATGGGGATGGGGATGGGATGGGGATGGGACATGGGGATGGGGGATGGGGATGGGGATGGGGATGGAAATGGGGATGGGGGGGATGGGGGATGGGGGATGGGGGATGGGGGATGGGGAAATGGGGATGGGGATGGGGATGGGGATGGGGATGGGGGATGGGGATGGGATGGGGATGGGGATGGGGATGGGGATGGGGATGGGGATGGGGATGGGGATGGGGATGGGGGATGGGGGATGGGGATGGGGGATGGGGGATGGGGATGGGGGATGGGATGGGGATGGGGATGGGGATGGGGATGGGGATGGGGGATGGGGGATGGGATGGGGGATGGGGGATGGGGATGGGGATGGGGATGGGGATGGGGATGGGGATGGGGATGGGGATGGGGATGGGGATGGGGATGGGGGGATGGGGATGGGGATGGGGATGGGATGGGGTGGGGATGGGGATGGGGATGGGGATGGATGGGGATGGGGATGGGGGATGGGATGGGGATGGGATGGGATGGGGATGGGGGATGGGATGGGGATGGGGATGGGGATGGGGGGGATGGGATGGGGATGGGATGGGGATGGGGATGGGGATGGGGATGGGGATGGGGGATGGGGATGGGGATGGGGATGGGATGGGGATGGGGATGGGGGATGGGGATGGGGATGGGGGATGGGGGATGGGGGGATGGGGATGGGGGATGGGGGATGGGGATGGGGGATGGGGATGGGGGATGGGGATGGGGATGGGGATGGGGATGGGGGATGGGGATGGGGATGGGGATGGGGGATGGGGATGGGGAATGGGGATGGGGAATGGGGATGGGGATGGGGATGGGGGATGGGGATGGGGATGGGGATGGGGATGGGGGATGGGGATGGGGATGGGGGATGGGGGATGGGGATGGGGGGAGGGGGATGGGGGAAAATGGGGATGGGATGGGGATGGGATGGGGATGGGATGGGGAATGGGGATGGGGATGGGGATGGGGATGGGCATTTGGGATGGGATGGGGATTGGGATGGGGAAATGGGGATGGGGGATGGGGATGGGATGGGGATGGGGATGGGGATGGGATGGGGATGGGGATGGGGATGGGGATGGGGGATGGGGATGGGGGATGGGGATGGGGATGGGGATGGGATGGGGATGGGGATGGGGATGGGATGGGGATGGGGATGGGGATGGGGATGGGGATGGGGGATGGGGGATGGGGATGGGGATGGGGATGGGGGATGGGGATGGGGATGGGGATGGGGATGGGGATGGGGGATGGGGATGGGGATGGGGATGGGATGGGATGGGGATGGGATGGGGATGGGGGATGGGGATGGGGGATGGGGATGGGATGGGGATGGGATGGGGATGGGGATGGGGATGGGGATGGGGATGGGGGGATGGGATGGGGGATGGGGATGGGGATGGGATGGGATGGGGATGGGGATGGGGATGGGATGGGGATGGGGGATGGGGATGGGATGGGGGATGGGGATGGGGATGGGATGGGGATGGGGATGGGATAAATGGGGGGGATGGGGATGGGGATGGGGATGGGGGATGGGATGGGGGATGGGGGATGGGATGGAGGGGGATGGGGATGGGGATGGGGATGGGGATGGGGATGGGGATGGGGATGGGGATGGGGGATGGGGGGATGGGGGAATGGGGATGGGGGATGGGAGAGAGAGATGGGGATGGGATGATGGGGATGGGGATGGGATGGGAACATGGGATGGGGATGGGGAAATGGGGATGGGGATGGGATGGGGATGGGGATGGGATGGGGATGGGGGGATGGGGATGGGGATGGGGATGGGGATGGGGATGGGGATGGGGATGGGGATGGGGGATGGGGATGGGGATGGGGATGGGGATGGGGATGGGATGGGATGGGGATGGAGATGGGGATGGGGGATGGGGATGGGGATGGGGATGGGGATGGGGATGGGATGGGGATGGGATGGGGATGGGGGATGGGGATGGGGATGGGGGATGGGGATGGGGATGGGATGGGGATGGGGATGGGGGATGGGGATGGGGATGGGATGGGATGGGGGATGGGGATGGGGATGGGGATGGGGATGGGATGGGGATGGATGATGGGATGGGGATGGGGGGATGGGGGGATGGGGATGGGGGGATGGGGATGGGGATGGGGATGGGATGGGGATGGATGATGGGGATGGGGATGGGGATGGGGGATGGGATGGGATGGGGATGGGATGGGGATGGGGATGGGGGATGGGGATGGGGATGGGGATGGGGATGGGGATGGGGGATGGGGATGGGGATGGGGATGGGGGATGGGGATGGGGATGGGGATGGGGATGGGGATGGGGATGGGGATGGGGGATGGGGATGGGGATGGGATGGGGATGGGGGTGGGGATGGGGATGGGGATGGGGATGGGGATGGGGGATGGGGATGGGGGATGGGGGATGGGGGATGGGGATGGGGATGGGGATGGGGGATGGGGATGGGGATGGGGGATGGGGATGGGGATGGGGGATGGGGGAGGATGGGGGATGGGGGGATGGGGATGGGGGATGGGGATGGAGGATGGGGATGGGGTTGGGGATGGGGATGGGGATGGGGATGGGGGATGGGGATGGGGATGGGGATGGGACATGGGGGATGGGATGGGGATGGGGATGGGGATGGGGATGGGGATGGGGATGGGGGATGGGGATGGGATGGGATGGGGATGGGGATGGGGATGGGGGATGGGGGATGGGGATGGGGATGGGGGATGGGGATGGGGATGGGGATGGGGATGGGGATGGGGATGGGGATGGGGGATGGGGATGGGGATGGGGATGGGGGATGGGGATGGGGATGGGGATGGGGATGGGGGATGGGGATGGGGATGGGGATGGGGGATGGGGATGGGGATGGGGATGGGGATGGGGATGGGGGGGATGGGGATGGGATGGGGATGGGGATGGGGATGGGGATGGGGGATGGGGGGGATGGGGATGGGGATGGGGATGGATGGGGATGGGGGGGATGGGGATGGGGGATGGGGGGATGGGATGGGGGGGATGGGGATGGGGATGGGGATGGGGATGGGGGGATGGGGGAATGGGGATGGGGATGGGGATGGGGGGATGGGGGATGGGGGATGGGGATGGGGGATGGGGATGGGGATGGGGATGGGGGATGGGATGGGGATGGGGGATGGGGATGGGGATGGGGATGGGGGATGGGGAATGGGGGATGGGGATGGGGATGGGGGATGGGGATGGGGATGGGGATGGGGATGGGGAAAATGGGGATGGGGGAAACATGGGGGGGGATGGGGGATGGGGATGGGGATGGGGATGGGGGATGGGGGGATGGGGATGGGGATGGGATGGGATGGAGATGGGATGGAGGATGGGGATGGGGGATGGGGGATGGGGATGGGGATGGGGATGGGATGGGGGATGGGGATGGGATGGGATGGGGATGGGGATGGGGATGGGGATGGGGGATGGGGATGGGGATGGGGATGGGGATGGGGATGGGGATGGGGGATGGGGGATGGGGATGGGGATGGGGATGGGGATGGGGGGATGGGGATGGGGATGGGGATGGGGATGGGGGGAGATGGGGATGGGGATGGGGATGGATGGGGGATGGGGATGGGGATGGGGATGGGGGATGGGGATGGGGATGGGATGGGGATGGGGATGGGGAATGGGGATGGGGATGGGGATGGGGATGGGGATGGGGATGGGATGGGGATGGGGATGGGGGATGGGATGGGGATGGGGATGGGGATGGGGATGGGGATGGGGATGGGGATGGGGATGGGGATGGGGATGGGGGATGGGGATGGGATGGAGGATGGGGATGGGGGATGGGGGGATGGGGATGGGGATGGGGGATGGGGATGGGGGATGGGGATGGGGGATGGGGATGGGGGGGATGGGGATGGGGGATGGGGGATGGAGGATGGGGGGATGGGGATGGGGATGGGGATGGGGGATGGGGGATGGGGATGGGGATGGGGATGGGGGATGGGGATGGGGATGGGGGATGGGGATGGGGATGGGGATGGGGATGGGGATGGGGGATGGGGGATGGGGGATGGGGATGGGGATGGGGATGGGGATGGGGGATGGGGATGGGGGATGGGGATGGGGATGGGGATGGGGGATGGGGATGGGGATGGGGGATGGGGGATGGGGATGGGGGATGGGGATGGGGATGGGGGATGGGGATGGGGATGGGGATGGGGGATGGGGGAGGGGAAATGGGGATGGGGATGGGGATGCATGGGATGGGGGATGGGGAGGTAGACCTAGAAAGTGGCAAAAACAGCTTTGTCTATCAGAAAATATATATCTTTATTGCAATAGAACAAGTGTTTTTCAAAATGAAAACATTTAAACTCATGACGCCTGCAGTGAGTCATACCAATATTAAATTGGTCAGCACTTAATATCCAAGTCATGCAATGTAAAGAGTATGCAATTAAAGAGGCAAAACCATCAACCTGTTCAAGTGTCATTTTTAAAACTAAAGATTTAAAACCCTGCAATTTTTAAAAACTTTCTGCAACTGAATCATCCCCTAGTCATCAGAAAACAAGGGATTGAAAATAAGTCTAGCTCAAGACTAACTTATCACCATAAGCAACAATTATCACAGAAGTTATAGTTATATAAAAAGGATTTTTCAAGGCTTCACACTTAACATTTACATTTTTGTCAAAGACTACATATTGTTTGTTCAGTTTCAGTACAAGTGATTTTTCAAGTTGATATTTTTTCTAAAACCAGTTTTTAGACTATAGTTCAAACTTATACTATGAAAGGCCTAGTTTTCATGCTGATATTTTCCAGGAAATTTTTACCACTAATAGAACCATTATAATAAGAGGGAATAAGTTATCACTGCATGCATTTTCCAATATAGAGAAAAAAAATATTCCAAATGGAATATTATTAAGATTGTATTTAAGTTTACATAGCTATTATACCTTAACTTGTATAGAAGGTTAAATTTTACAAGAGTCAAATGAGAACTAAGTCCCCTCCCTTAAAAAAAAAAAAAATTCTTGGCAAGATTCCATCTTGATAAGAGAGCAAGAAAAACAGGACACAAGTAGCCTTGCTTTATCTTAAGTTTTATTCCAACTGGGATTTGACTTATCAGCTAAATTAAAAGCTTAAGTTACAAACTATATAGTAATATTGGAATTAAACTAAATTTTAGTATTTTCAGCCACTTCAAGTACAATTTGATTTCCTGCATGAGGCTGTTAATCTTTAAAGAAATGATTAATGGCAATTTATATAGAAAAATTTAACTAGTATTCAAGTGATTTGAAACCAATATAGAGGCAACAAGAGCCCCTAAGATATGCTAGACTTCCAACTATTAAGACAATATCAAAAGTTAGCATATAAAAAAAAAAGAAAAAGAAAAAAAAAAGTGAAATCTATTTTGGGAAGTTCCTGATAAATTCTAATATTTGAAAAATATCAAAATTCAAAACAGCAAACAATAAAAGGCCTGTTGGAAGTTGCAAACAGCATTTGGGAAACTGACTAAGTAGTGTATATATACCAAGACAAAAATGACAGTTATTTATAAGAGACAGGAATCATTAAAAAGGCGAGAATATCAAATTTGATCAGGTAATAGAGCGAGCATTCAAAATATTGAATATCAGTTCACCGTTATAATTCCATATCTGATTACAAACTTTGTATAGTTATATCCTGGCAGCTTAAAAAAAAAAAAAAAAAAAAAAAAATTGCTGAAGTTTATATTGGCTTTGTAGTTAAATACAAATACATAATCATTGTCAAAAGCAGGACATTTAGGGTATTTTATAGAACTATTAAGAGTAATGAGAATAGGCTAGCCTATTACAAATGTTAGCCAACAATCAAAAAAGTCATATTTAAGTATCAGCTAAAATGACAAAGTCATTCCCAATAATACAAGAATTTATCAATAACCAAAAGTTCTTACTTGGTCGAAGAGTTGTTTTCCTGTTGTGTTGGGCTGGATAGCAAATTCCAGCTCTGCATCCATTGTTTGGACACGCACATTGATCTGCAAGAGGAAGATTACAATTAAATGAAAATTTAGATTTTTTTTAATTAACCATGTCTAAAAAGTTGCCTCATTGAAAGAAAATTTAAAAGTAAATGGTATTAAAAAGAACGTAGACATTGTTGAAAGTAAACATAGGAGTGAAATGGTAAATTTTTCTTGGCTAATCAAGCTATCTTGCAATCAAGTTTGGGTCACACTTAAAATTGTAAAAGCACATCATAGGAGCTAAGTTGTCAAAATATTCAGCTTTAATATTAGGAAGTAGCTCCCTATGATATATATATATATATATATATATATATATATATATATATATATATATATATATATATATATATATATATATATATATATATAAAATAGGTAGATGCCATACAAGATGGCCATTCAGCTATCGAATGGTTAAGCAGGATTTGATTCCAGAGATTTAGTTCTGTCCCAAGACAAATTTATCAAGTAATTAAATTTTGAAAGTTTATTTTAAGTGCTATCTGATAAAACAAATGTTATGCCATTATAGACAGACTTATTTGGTAAATGCTATATATCTCTGCACAAAGCCTTAAATATAAAATAAAAAATAGAACAATTTAAATTTTTAGGTTAATTCTCAAAGTTACAATTAGCGGTTTTTTTATAGTCTTTTTTATGGAAGATTAGAAGAATCCTTTGAGTTTTAACTAAGAAACTGGCAACTTCTGGTTGTCTATAGAATCAACCAGCACAAAAAGTATAATTTGAAAGTGAACTTAAGATTCCAGATCTGAAAGCAATTTTAAGCAGTTTATTCTAACCCAAGAAGTTACTGAAATTTTTTTTTGAGAGGAAAAAAAATCTCAGCATATTCCCACAAAGCACTAGCTAAGCAAGGCTTAAAGAGGAAGTAAGCAAGCAATGGTCATATTGCCAATGATATAGTTGCAATTTATTCATCAATTGGGTTAGCTGGCTAGTTAGCTAGCTAGCTGTGTGAGCTACAAGTTATACAGCCTGTATATTGAGCTACTCAACATCTTTTCTGACCTGAATAGAACTACAAATTTGTAATTGTCAGTTAAAAGGGGAGAGAAAAAAAAAAAAAAGGGCTATGATACTTAAGTTACCTAATTAGAAGTTTATATTTTTTAATGCCAGTTGTAGATTTTAGTTATTTTAAGCTGAGCAAGCCTTTAGTAATTAAACTGCAGGAGACAGTTTTTAAGATACCTCACTTGTATACTTTGGGTCTTATCAGACAGGAGTCTTAACCAAAGGTTATGATAAAGCAGGGTTTTTATCAAGTAGTCAACCATTTTTAAAATATGCCATTCTGTAGCAAAAATTTGTCAGTTTGCATTTGATTAATATTTTCCACCAACAAGGAAAAGGTCTCCCCATTGTCTCATGGGACTTTGTAAACAATAAGGACATTTAGAAAAATTTCAGATTTAAAAAACACTTTCAGTGCTTCAAGTGTAAAAAGCATATGCCATTCTTTGAACCAAACATCTTTAAGCATCAACTTTGTTCATTTTGTCAATTTTAGTTTAGTTATTTAAATAAAATGCAAGCTTCTATGGTAGTAGATGGTTACCTTTTGACAAGAGGAGAAAAGTCATTACATTAGAACTTTTTGCTATTGTTACATTTTAAAAAGTGAAATGAGCTAGTACATTTTCAGGAACAATTTAACTTTGGAAGTTTGGCTAAGCTACAAACAAAAAAAATATCCAAACAAGACAGAGTTGCTTACCATTTTATCACAAAAGAAAAGCAGTTGGGGGGGGGGGGAATTTTCAATCTACATAGTGCAACTAAGGAAATCTACATGTCTAGCTATTGTATACCAATAGGAAAGGAATATAAAAAACTTACTAATTGGTGGGACAAGTAAAAGACTAAAATTAAACATGGCCTTGGGCATAAATTGAAACATGAAGGGAAGAGAAGTGCTAGGATAGTGACATGACAAGTTTGGTTGACTGGAGTAAACAGTTAAAGTCAATGATGCTGGCCTTTCAAGTGGACATTCGATATCTATGGAACTGGTGCGAAACTTTACAGGACAGTGGCAGGAAACTTGTACATTACCAAAAACAATACCCTGACCTTAGATTGAGCTTTGAACATGTCCCACGGTGCAGCTCCACGCTGTGATAAAAAGTCATCTAGAGCGAAAAAGATCTGTTTAAAAGAGTTCATACAGAGTGTAAAGAAAAGTGAAAGAGTAGGTTTACAAGATCAGTCAAAAAAATTAGCCTAACAAAAAAAAAAAAAAACAAAACAAAAAAAACTCACACACTAATCTTAAAAGTAGTTTAATACATTTACCATATCTGCAAGGAAATTTGATACAATTTAAGGGTGATAACAGCCTGCAATCTAAGTAGGTAGCAGCTAACAAAGAACTAGTCAAACTAGAAGACAGGACCTCATTAAGTTCTAGTATCAATTCCAAATTAAGTCAGAAGATTTAATCCAAAGTTTGGTTTTGGCAAATTGAACTCATACTATTTACATTTAATACATTTGAACTCTAGAAATGAGGGAGTTGCTATATTGACAACCTAATCTCCACTAAAAAAAAAAACCCAAAAAACCAAACAGACGTTTTATGGATGGTTTCTTTGTTGTGCCAAGAACTGTTCAGCAGTCCAGTTTTTTTTTTTCTGCACAGTTTTTTCTGTCATTAAGTTGCTTCAACTGATTGTTGAAAACAAAATTGGTTCATTTTAAACCTTGCAGAAGGTCATTAGATTTGTGAAATCTATGTTCATCCTGAAAACTTTAAAGTCCTTTACAGAAAGGAAAAAAATTGAAGTTAATTTTACTGAAAATTTAAAATGTAGGCACTCAATAGCATCAGAATAAGTCAATGAGATTGAATGCTAGTTCAGCAACATTTTTTCCTTTTTAGAGGACAAGAGAGTCAAACATTTAAGACTGGTATCACTCTAGTCCTTAATAAAAATATCAGTATTAAAGATTATAAATGAAACCCTATCAAATTTGGGTTAATAAAAAGATACAATCCCAGTTTACAGAGTTTACTATTGGTACATAGTCAAAGTCTTTAATATTGGCCTTCCTAGATACAACCATATTGCCATTTCTTATTCTTATTGAAATTAGCATAATTCTTCCACTAATTTCAATAGACTAACCACTCCAAAAAGAAAAGTGATAATACTTTAAATAGCATAAAAAGCCATGGATAAAATAAAGAGAAGTTTAAAGTCAGATTTTTATTAAAACTAGTATGTTTTTTTTTTTTTTTTTACAGTTAAAAAGAAAAAACCTTACCAAGTGAATGTGACCAGTAAGTTTATTTTTGGGAAAAAAGATAAATTTGCATTTTCTTGCTCTGAAGTCATTCAAGTTAGACAAGGTGGTAGTAGAACTACTACTAGTAGTAGTAGTAATGTGTTAAAAACAAAACCCACTAACATTTATAGTTTTCAATTTACTGCTACTATAATTTTCTACAATAGAAATTCACCCTGCTGCCCTATTTCCATAGGGGATTTAGAAGACTGAACCAGCCACTTAAATAGCTAATAATAATGCAGTTAATCTGCATTAAGTCATTTGGTACAAGCAGCTTGAATTTAAAAAAAAAAAAAAAAAAAAATTTAATAATTCCGTCTACAACATTCAAATAAAAAGATGGATAAGAAACTGGATTATGAAGTTGATGCAAAAAGCTTCCAGCATTTGACAGCCAAATTCAGAGCATCATTAAAACATTTTCCAAGTTGTGTAGTCTTTTAGCTAAATTACACATTCAATGGAGTTTTAGTTTTGATTCAGTGTTTGATATTGTCAACTTGACAAGCCTATAGAATGTTACATGAAATGGAAAATTCTTCATTTGCAAATCCAGGACAGCAAATGAAGGCCAGGTGTTGTCAATCAAAGAAATGCATACAACACTTAGTTGGCTTCCTTGTCCAGGAGGGCTTCTCTAATACAGCATTCAAAGAATGCCAATTCTTTGTAGCAGCTTTGTTAGAATTTGTCTAAGTGCCAGCAGCATGTAGTTGAATCCCAACCATTCCCCACCAAACATTTATGCTGTTTTTAAAAATTTCATTGTGAATTTTTATTGGAGAGAAAAAAATTTTTTTTACCATACCCAAAAGTAATGGGTACTACAAGAGAAAATTTAACATTTGTCAGTATCAAGTTCACGTAGAACTTGTTTTTCTAGTTTATGCGTAGTTGTTGACTGTGCAATCAGTTGTGAACCTCAAAACTTCACCTAAATTTTATAAAAAGAAACTGAAAAATTTCCAAGTTATACTGTAAGTTTTTCCATTATAAAATTGACATTAACAAGCAAAGTCTTAATAGACAAGAAACATTAATATACAAAAAATTGGAGAAAAAATTCAAAACTTGTTAGTTTACTCCAATACTTATTTAGTTCTAGATTCTAAGTGGCTGCATCTGAGTTATAATTTAGCTGAAAAATAAACAGCCTTAGACCTAAATCTAGTTTTACATTTTTATGATGGGATTTAATTAAATCATGTTTTAGATTAAAAGAAATATTAAAATGTGATAAGGGACAAGACAGATTTAGCTTTATAAAAATCTTGCAAGAAGTTTCTAAAGTATTCTAAATAGAAACAAGTGATTTTCAAACAAAAAATTAACGGACAAGTTAACCAGTTTAAGAGATTAGTTTTAATCTCATTTTCTAGGAAAAAAAAACTCATTTTTATGTTTAAGATTTAAATGGCATTCAAGTTTCTGCAAACTTTGTGGCACTTGTTGAATTTTAGCTGTTTAAAGTTGACAGCTGGGATTATGTAGGACAATATACAACGTATACTTCATTATATATGAAGAGCAAACCTTAAATACCTCTTCAAGCATAAAGAGGTAAATTGTGTGACAAGAGAAATCTTTTCAAGTCTATTACTGACATATGAGCAGCATATTGTTAAGTGTTTCTGTGTATAGAAGAAAGTTTTACAGCAACAATCCAAATATACTTAAACAATTTTTAAAAG